TTGCCGTATAAGAGACAAGGGTGATTCTTAAATTCATTAGTCTCAATCAAACACAAATGTTAGAATAAAATGGGACGGATTTAGAAACAGTTGGCGATCAGATGTTAAAGTTATAATTCTGCCGTAGATCATCCTTACCTATTTGCATCGTCTTTTTCGGTTAGTTTTGGTGGTCAGGAATGGTATGTTCTTTTATTATCAGCCAGCGTAGCGTTACGCCTTTATTGCGAAAGTGATATAGGTTTTCACTTGTTTTTTTTTCTCATCGTAGATTTTTTGGTCATCATCGTCACACCCAACCAAAATCCAATTTTAGAACACTGCCGTCCTGTTAATGGCAGGGAGACAGACTTTCTCCAGGATATTCTCTGCATAGTAGTCGGCATCGACCACCATTTTCAGCGGAATCACGTCCAGCTAGCCCAGGCCCTGGAGTCTGTCGGGACTTCTGCCATGTTTCCAACCCATACTCGCTCTTTCTGGCGGTTTGGTTGGTAAAGCAGGTGAAATTAGACTCGTCAGTAATCAGGACCCGTTTCTACTCCGTTTCCACTTTTCCACAATCCAGCTCTAACGTTTCTTAAAAAATTGAAGGCTCTGGACTTGCTGATTTCCCGCTAATTTTGGCCCTCCCTACACGAGCCATATGGGCCTAAGTACAAGTTTGTCCCTCCACTCTCCAGTATCGACGGGCAGTCGTCCCATACATTGGATGGAAGTCAGTTTAGACAACCTTTTCGCAGAGTGCTCGGATTTTCCGGGTTCATACTTCATGACGATCTGATGGTTGAAATGCAGAACGGCCGCCCTGATTGGGGTCTACCTGCGACGCTCCCCTCCTCCCTTACCCGCGCACCGACGGGGGCGGACGATAGAACAAAAATAAAAGCACCAGTGAACTCAGGACGTCCGTGCGCATCGAATGATATACTTTGTTACCAATTTAACTGAACTCTGAAATTCAGTTGCCGCTAAGCTATTCCAATTTCCCCTGACCTTGTACCGGTTTTTGTGACCTGGTGACCTGACCTGAAAAGACTGGGACCTCAAAATTTCAGGATAGGTGCGAAAATGTTGCCCCAGAGGGTATGCCAAATTTGGCGGCGCTACGCTACGCTTTTACGGTATTTGCGAAAAACCTTAGGGGAGGGGGTTGCATCAACCAACCAACCCTCGCCCGGCGAGGGTTAAGGTCAGGTCACTTTGATTTTTGAATGACCCGACCTCAAATCACTTTTTTTGCAACTTTGCCACCGTGTCAGTGCTACAGTAGATGACGAACTCCTTTGAAACCTGCAAGATGCAATGAGGTCATTGGACATTGGTAGCTACAATTTGTTGATATCGATGACATAAGGTCAGGTCAATTTTTTGACCACCCCATTACAAGTCAATGGGGGGGGGGGTGGATCAACTTTCTTATTTTTACATTAAAACGCGTCGGAATGGCGTAATATGCCATGAGTGACTTCATATACGATCAACCTCGACTATCGAGTCCTTTTTTGCTCTTTGGCAACATTTTGGCAACACATTGGTCATGTGACGTCATCAAAGGTCACCATAGGTTTTTTGCTAAGTAAAAAGTTGTACACCTTGTCCGTGTGTTCTCTATGCCGTTTACCGCTTGTCGCTATCTTGCTTCGTTCTCGAGATCTCAGGGGAGGGGGGGGGCGGATATCCGCCCCCCCCCCCCTCCGTCGTTTGCTATTGGCGCGGACCCCCGTCGGTACGCGAGTTAAACTTCTTCCACCAGCGCTTGCTGGTGAGAACTGGTACTCTGAAATGTCAGGCACGTTCTTCTGAGTGTTACCAGCTTAGAGCGTGCCAGAAGTGTGACTACGCAACCTCTAAACTGTAAAGTTTGATCCCCATGTCTAGGCCTTGGTTCATGCGCCGATCTCTGGGTAAACAATGACCCAGGCCAGTCACCCTGTGGGTCAAGGTCAGCTGCTCAGGTAATACGTGCCCCAGGGAAGGAAATAGAAACGCCAGGACGTTCTCAGCAACGCGATATTTGGAAGCATATTGGAAATATACCAAGTTATCTGGGATGTAACGGAAGTTAGCCCACATTCGGCCCAGCCCAGATTGGGGCTGCCAAATCTAGGGAAAAATCTAGAAATCTAGGGAAAAAATCTAAAAACCGTTTTACGCCTAAACGGCTGGACGAAACTGAAAAATAAGACCACAATTTGAAAGATCTCTTCACCCCGGACCTAATGATATGGTTAAATACCGGATCAATTTAACCAAAAGCATGATTTAACCAGGATGAAAATTTTCGGTCAATGGGGCGGCCCCTACGATTTTCTTCAAAATCGGCATGGTGATACTACAGGCCGAGATGATCAATCTGGCTGAAGAAACCCCTATGGGCATTGAAATCTATGGGGTAAAAACGCCCTTAGAAAGTTTTACCCACTCATTTCTGGCAAGTGTATCGCACGCATCCCCCAATATGGGTATCATATGAAAGCCCATGAAAACCCAAACAAAATGGTGGGGTAAAATTTACCCATTACCCCATCCAGGGTAAAGTTTACCCAAGATGAAAATTTTCGGCCAATGGGGCGGCCCCTACGATTTTCTTCAAAATCGGCATGGTGATACTACAGGCCGAGATGATCAATCTGGCTGAAGAAACCCCTATGGGCATTGAAATCTATGGGGTAAAAACGCCCTTGGAAAGTTTTACCCACTCATTTCTGGCAAGTGTATCTCACGCATCCCCCAATATGGGTATCATATGAAAGCCCATGAAAACCCAAACAAAATGGTGGGGTAAAATTTACCCATTACCCCATCCAGGGTAAAGTTTACCCAAGATGAAAATTTTCGGTCAATGGGGCGGCCCCTACGATTTTCTTCAAAATCGGCATGGTGATACTACAGGCCGAGATGATCAATCTGGCTGAAGAAACCCCTATGGGCATTGAAATCTATGGGGTAAAAACGCCCTTGGAAAGTTTAACCCACGCATTTCTGGCAAGTGTATCGCACGCATCCCCCCATATGGGTATCATATGAAAGCCCATGAAAACCCAAACAAAATGGTGGGGTTAAATTTACCCATTACCCCATCCAGGGTGAAGTTTACCCAAGATGAAAATTTTCGGTCAATGGGGCGGCCCCTACGATTTTCTTCAAAATCGGCATGGTGATACTACAGGCCGAGATGATCAATCTGGCTGAAGAAACCCCTATGGGCATTGAAATATATGGGGTAAAAACGCCCTTGGAAAGTTTTACCCACGCATTTCTGGCAAGTGTATCGCACGCATCCCCCCAATATGGGTATCATATGAAAGCCCATGAAAACCCAAACAAAATGGTGGGGTAAAATTTACCAATTACCCAATCCAGGGTAATGGGTAATACCGCCCCATTGACCGAAAATTTTCATATTGGATAAACTTTACCCTGGATGGGGTAATGGGTAAATTTTACCCCACCATTTTGTTTGGGTTTTCATGGGCTTTCATATGATACCCATATTGGGGGGATGCGTGCGATACACTTGCCAGAAATGAGTGGGTAAAACTTTCCAAGGGCGTTTTTACTCCATAGATTTCAATGCCCATAGGGGTTTCTTCAGCCAGATTGATCATCTCGGCCTGTAGTATCACCATGCCGATTTTGAAGAAAATCGTAGGGGCCGCCCCATTGACCGAAAATTTTCATCTTGGGTAAACTTTACCCTGGATGGGGTAATGGGTAAATTTTACCCCACCATTGTTTGGGTTTTCATGGGCTTTCATATGATACCCATATTGGGGGGATGCGTGCGATACGCTTGCCAGAAATGAGTGGGTAAAACTTTCTAAGGGCGTTTTTACCCCATAGATTTCAATGCCCATAGGGGTTTCTTCAGCCAGATTGATCATCTCGGCCTGTAGTATCACCATGCCGATTTTGAAGAAAATCGTAGGGGCCGCCCCACTGACCGAAAATTTTCATCCTGGTTAAATCATGCTTTTGGTTAAATTGATCCGGTATTTAACCATATCATTAGGTCCGGGGTGAAGAGATCTTTCAAATGGTGGTCTTATTTTTCAGTTTCGTCCAGCCGTTTAGGCGTAAAACGGTTTTTATATTTTTTCCCTATATTTCTAGATTTTTCCCTAGATTTGGCAGCCCCAATCTGGGCTGGGCCGAATGTGGGCTGAATGTGGGCTAACTTCCGTTACATGTTATCTGGGATATATGAAATGTTTCAAAACTTTTGCCGCACCCTTTATATTATTTTTGCAACGCTGATTGCAGCTAAACAGTATACATGCTTTTCCCGACAACTGAAACTTAAACTGAAAAGGACAGTGTAAATAACGTAAATCTAATGCAGAGTTAGGTATTGCTAAAATGTTCGAATGCATACAATTTTTTTCAAAGATGACATAATGTCACTTTTTCTTGTTTCTGGCATGAAAATATTTTCCCCATAGGTGTTTTTCTCACCCATAACTGTGAAAAAAAAATGGAACTGCACTGGGTCGTTCAGCCACGGACTGCTGACGAACAGCCACAGACGACATATTCATCGTGCAGATGGTCATCGCTGACCTCGATCATTCGATGAATATTTGATATGCTTTAACTCTGGCGTCTTGGTTTTCCGTCCCAGCAGTTAGCAGTGGCGCCCAATAACCCATTACTGAGTAAAGTAATCTTGACCCATTACCATACTCGGGCAGCTGGGGACGGACCTCCCGCTGTATGTGCCGTTGGCTGGGGACGGACCTCCCGCTGTATGTGCCGTTGGCTGGGGACGGACCTCCCGCTGTATGTGCCGTTGGCTGGGGACGGACCTCCCGCTGTGTGCCGTTGGCTGGGGACGGACCTCCCGCTGTGTGTGCCGTTGGCTGAGGACGGACCTCCCGCTGTGTGCCGTTGGCTGAGGACGGACCTCCCGCTGTATGTGCCGTTGGCTGAGGACGGACCTCCCGCTGTATGTGCCGTTGGCTGGGGCCGTCACCGCCGTCCGCCGTGTGCTCCGGCAGGTTCCTGCGGCCGGAGAACGTGCTGCTGACGGCCGAGCGGGGCGCGGCGCTCACCTACTTCTGCCGGCTGCGGTGTGCGGGCGCGCGCGCGCCGCCGGCAGCCGAGCGCGGCCGGCTGTACGCGGCTCCCGAGCTGTGGACGCCCGGCGCCGCCGTCACGGCCGCCGCCGACTGGTGGAGCCTGGGCGCGCTGCTCTGGGAGCTGCACGGCGACGGGCCGCTGTGGACGCGCCACCCGGCCGGCCTGGCGGCGCACACGGCGCTCCGGCCGCCGGCGTCTGCCGGGCCGGCGGCGCGCTCCCTGCTGGCGGCGCTGCTGCGGCCCGACCCGCGCCGGCGACCCGACGCCCGACACATCCGCCGGCACGCCTTCTTCGCCGGCCTGGACTGGAGCCGGCTCTGAGCGCGCCCCGGGACGTCTGTGACGGCTCTGAGCGCGCCGGGACGTCTGTGACAGCTGTGGGCGCGCCGGGTGGCCGGGCTGTGGGCGTTCGGCCGAGCCCAACTGGTTTTTGTTTGTGAGCGGCCTATGTGCCAGGCTCGTCAGCGAGACTGCGCCTTGCTCTATCGGCTGCTGCTGCGCCTTTCGGAGTCAGTCCAACCTTGTTTCCCAGACAAGCTGTTGGTGTAGTTCATGTCTGCCAGAGGCGAAACGCGAGCGCTTCTCTTGTCAGAGCGTATCAAAACGCAATATCAGTGCTTTATGTTTGATGACGAGCTTTTAACGTATTGTGTTACTGCACGCTGCTATAAGTTTGTTACGTTATGGACCTAGCTGCACCGAAATGTCGCTGTAGTCGCTCCTTGCGAGTTGCGGAAGAGCCTGCCGATTGTAGCTGGCCTCAGAGCGGTCCGTTGCCGTCCGCCATTGTTTCCCGGCGAGCTCGAGGCCACTGTTCACTGCCGATTGCGACTGTCCATATTCCGTGTAACATTCCAACCCGGCCCTTCAGAGGGGCGGCCGCTTTTTTATACCCGGGTGGCTCATCAGTCTGTGTTGGACCGACCAGCTGGTGGCAGTGATCAAACTATAACACCATTAAATATGAGTAACTTTTCCATCGTATGTGTTTTTTTGTGACCTGGAACTACCTCCATGTAAGGAAGAGTAAGGAAGGAAAAACGTGTAAGGAAGAATAGGTAAGCGTAACAGGCCTTGGGCGTAATTGCTTATTCGGACATGTAAGTGCTGGGGGTTTACGAATATAGAGGCCATGTTACATTCATCCACCGGCACCACTCGGTCGTAATAACATTCGACCAGAAAAACGTTGCGAAAGCAAGAGTCAGTATTACGAATCCGTAACTTATGCCGGTTTTTGGTCTGGTATTGCAATGCAAGTGCATGTGTGAAGCGATGACTATAGTTTGAATCGTTGAAAATTATCTTGCAGACAAGAACAGAAGGGAGAAGGGGAAATAAATTTATCGCTTCACATGTACTTGGCACTTGCTATACATGCCCAAATGCTGGCGTGTTACGAACTCGCTTTATGAAACGAGGCCCAGGATACGCATTTTACACTGAAATAATTATTTTGAATGGAAACAAGCACTCAATAGCAATAGCCAATCAATAGGGACCCCAATGCATTCGCCAGTGACTGGAACTGTTCTGGTGACGTCAAAAGATGTCATTTGCCTCTCATCTCTTGCTGAATAATTACTAATAAAATTCGTCATCCTTGGCGCTTTGTCGTCCAAAGTGTTGAGGGGAGTCATGGGGAGTGGTGGGGTTCCTGCGGACGTGGATAAGTAATGTTCCTTTTGTAAATACCTGTTTCATTCTTCCCAATATATATCTTAACCAGAATTTCATGCTCGTACAATGTGCAGCTTCGGTTGGTGGGGAAACTTTGAACATATGAGAGCGCTACTGACTTGAAACTTGCGCCATTATGGCCACATTATGGCCACACCCATGGTTCACCGTTCACCATTTTGTCACTGGTTAATGAATCAGAATGTAAATACTGCGGCTGTGTTTGTTACTGTCTTCTCAATCCTTTCCATGCTTGTTCTTATGTATTTACCCATCCAGTTCAGAATTTGGATCTACAAATCTAGGCCTTGTGATACTTTTTTCTCATGTGTCCGTTTATGAATCTGTTGTGTCTTATGACATGTCTTATTTTTATATTCCTCTCCTTACAGGTAGGCATTAATCTTTAAAAATGGGAAGGAAGCCAAGAGCTACTAGGACACACTTGAGGAGATCTATCCAAAGTAGCCAGTTTCACAACAGGGTAAGTATAGTGATGTTCTTGACTTGCAGGCTGCAGCAGAAGCAATTCAGCACGTCTGTATTGCGTCTATCCTAAATAGGTTTCGCTTATCGCTTTAGTGCATCTACCTGTCCAGTCCCCATGCCTAAGGTGGGAAAGCTACCAGGTAAGTTGACCAGGAGAGACGATATTTTATTTTGCCATTTTCATATCACATATTGGTTTCAAAGAGCAGTCTAAACAACAGTGATTTTTGTCCGATCACAATAATGTATCATGCTGAACAAGGCTGGTATAAAAAGTGTATAATCAGCTAAGTTTGGTATGTGTTTTACTATACGCCAATGATAAGTTAGTGGTCCCTTGGATTTAATACTGTTTTCATCCTTGAACTGCTAGTCGTGGGCGCTGACTGTCTCCGCTTTCTGTGCTGCTATCTGCGCAGCGTCTGGAGGAGGACCAGATGTGGGCGAGCCGCGCGCGGGAGCGGGAGCGGCGCCGCTCGCCGCCGCCGGGCACTCGCGGCCTGCGCATGGACCAGCGCCGTCTGGAGAGCCGGCCTCGTCGCGAAGGTACGGGCGCCGCCGGCGCGGGCCGGACGGCGCGGCGGGCGCGCTGAGCGGCGGCCGGCCCGCCGCGCCGTCCGGCCGCCAGCCGGTGGTGTGGAGGACAGTCTGGGCGGCAGCGTGGCCGTGCCGTCAGTGGCACCGGCGGCAGCTCCGGCCGTGGCGTCCAGCCGCGGCGCCAGTGGCGGACGTGGCGGAGCAGTGGTGTTGGTGCAGTGGTGGTGAGCGGTGGTGCTGAGCGGTGCAGTGGCCGGACTGGTGACCAGCAGTAGGCATGGCGGCGGACTGTGGCCTGTGGGACTCTGCCGGACTGTGTGGACTCGGGCGGCCGTGCGCCGCGTCCCGGCCAGTGCCGCGTCCCATTCCAGCCAGTGTGGACTGTGCCAGAGGACTGCGGGGCAGCGCTCCGGCCCATGTAGGCGCCCCTGACCGCCCGGCAGCGGCCAGGGCCGTGTAGGCGCCCCGGACCGCCCGGCAGCGCCCAGGGCCGGCGCGCCGCCTCTGAGAGCCGTGCGCAGCTCCGGCCCGTGTAGGCGCCCCTGACCGCCCGGCAGCGCCCAGGGCCGGCGCGCCGCCTCTGAGAGCCGTGCGCAGCTAGTGTAGTGTTCGCACCTTCCGGGTCTGTCCATGTCTGTGGGTAAGGTCTGAGGTAAGTACGTCTGCGTGGCGCGCCGCCAGAGCTGCTCTCCCCGGCCCGGTCGGCGGCTGCTGGCAGGGGCTTCGCGGGGGACGTTCACAGTTTGCACCAGATAAAATATTGACTTGATTGGTATTCTGCTGCATAGAATGTGACTTTGATCTGTTTTGTTTTGCGCCTCAAGGCTCAATCACCTTGTGTACCAACGCTTAAAACTGTTGAAATTGTTTAGTAGGTATTCAGATATTAAGAAGGCATTTGTTAACTCTACCCAGCATATGCATTTCCCATTACTGCCTAGAAAACCAAAAGATTCAAAGAGGTATTGATGATTACATATTGACTACATATGTATTGATGACTAAATAGCATAACCTATTGACGTGTTGTGCATTGCAGAACATCATACTGTGCACCGAAATCCTGCCCGATTATTCGCGAGCGATGCAATGGAAACCAGTAGCCACGTTTAATAGCTTTATCGTGTAATAATAACAAATTATCGTTTTTCCCATTTACATTCAAATTTCAAAGTCATTGTTGTGCTCGATAACAGCTCTAGCATGTAAACATCCATACAGCTGCTAACTGTGGGTCCGTGCCCGGCCTGTCAGACACGGTGTGCACCCGTAGGCTCGCCTTTGTGCAGTGGGGCACCAGTCCTCCAATAGCACCGTGTGAATGTGACTAGCCGAAAATCCGCGTCCCATGCCGAAAATCTGCGTCCCGTGCCGAGCTGTGTTCACCGGTCTGCCATGGTGGGAGCACCATTCCGGGTTGTTTCCGCCCGGCTGCGGTAGGTGGGTGCCTAGAGCGGTACCGGAGGACAGGTCTGGGTCGGTAGCGGCCTCAGACAGCCGCCGGACGCCGCCCGCTCGGACCGGTCGCTCTGTGCAGCCTGTGACGGTGTGTTCGGGTGGTGTCAGCAGACAGGCGGCGCCCGGAGCTCGACTCGGCCATGCGCCGCGCCCGCCGCGACGGCCAGCAGAGCATGTACTGGACCAAGAAGCTGCTCGACTTTGAAGAGCGCGATCCGGACCGGTGAGCGGCGTCGGTGGGGTCGCAGGGGACCGGCGGGGGTCACAGGGAGACAGGCGGGGTCACAGGGACCGGCGGGGTCACAGGAAGGCGGGGGTCACAGGGACGCCGACAGGCGGGGGTCACAGGGACCGGCGGGGCTCACAGGGACCGGCGGGGGTCACAGGAAGGCGGGGATCACAGGAAGGCGGGAGTCACGACAATACCAGCTCGTCGAGTCGCGCTGGTACTGTTTCTCGTGCAAGTACCTCGATGCCTCATTTCGTTTTGGTGTGATGTGTTGTGTCAGTGTGTGTCGTGTGGTGATGTGTGTTATCAGTGTTGTGTTGTGTGCTGTCAGTGTGTCGTGTTGTCAGCGTGTGTCGTGTTGTCATTGTGTCTCGTGCTGGGTCAGTGTGATGTGTGCTTTTAGATTTTGCCATGTTGTGTCAGTGTGGTGCGTGTTGTGTCAGGGCGTGTCGCTGTGTGTTGTGTTGTGTCAGGGCGTGCCGCTGTGTGTTGTGTGCTGTGTCAGTGTGGTGTCGTCTCTGAGTCCCGCCGGCCGGCCGCCAGCTGGGGCCACAGCGGGTTCCGGGAGCTCTACATGGACTCGGCGCCAGGCGCGGCCAGCACCGCCCGGCCGGACCGCTCTCGGGAACGTCAGCCGAGAGAGCGGCCCGAGCGGGAGCGCAGAGAGCGGCCCGATCGGGAGCGCAGAGAGCAGCTCCAACGCGACGCCGGGCGGCGGCCGGCGGCGTCCGAGCGCGGCCGCCGACAGTACCGGCGCCGCTCCCGGACCCGGTCCCGGTCCCGGTCCCGGACACGGACACGGTCCCGGTCCGGCTCGTCCTCCTCCAGCAGCTCGTACTCCGGCTCGTCCGATGACCGGTGAGGACGGCAGACCCGAGCTAGGAGCCTGGGGTAGCTCCAGACCCGAGATTGGAGCCTGGGGTAGCTCCAGACCCGAGATTGGAGCCTGGGGTAGCTCCAGACCCGAGATTCGAGCCTGGGGTAGCTCCAGACTCGAGCTAGGAGCCTGGGTTAGCTCCAGACCCCGAGATAGGAGGGCGTGTGAGCTGGAGTTGCAGCAGACTCCGATGGCAGCCAAAGATCAGGACTTCGACGGCTTAACATGGTTTTCTCTTTCGTTAAGCCATGATCTGTGTATGGTCCAGGTTAACCAAAGTTGCCATTTTCTGTTGTTGTTTCTCTTAAATGTAACATGGACCCGTCCATTGTTTGGCTGGTGTATTCTTAAGTGCCTGTGTTTCTAACTACCTGTGCCCGGGTGTCTAACGGTCGTTGGTCCGCGCCGTCCAGGTCGCGGTCGGGCACGCCCGGCCGCCGCCGCCGCCGCCGCAGCTCGAGCAGCAGCTGGTCCAGCAGCTCGACCAGCGTCACATCGCGGTCAGCCTCGCCGTCCTCGCGACCCGCCGCCGCCGCCGCCCCGGTCAACGGACACAGGCGGCCGGCGCCGCGGCCGCGCCCTGCCGCCGACCGTACCAAGGGGCCGGCGTCGGACCGCTCCCGGGCGGCGGCCCCCGACCGGTCTCGGCCGTCCGGCGGCGGTGGCGGCGGCCCGCGGCCGGCGGCCACCATCACCCGGCGCGTGTCGAACCCGGCGCCGGTCGCCGAGCGGCCCGAGCGGCGCCGGCGCTCCCCCGCCGCGCCGGCGGCGGCCCGCCGGCCGCGCGCGCCGCCCGCCGTCCCGGCCGGCCCGTCGCGGCGGCGGCCGGCGCGCTCCGAGTCGGCCGACTCGAGCTCGTCGTCGGCAGCCGAGGAGCCGGCACGCACCAGCCTGTCGGAGCGTTTCGGTCGGCTGGCGCAGCTGAGCTCTCAGCGCGGCGCCGCCGAGCTCGTCCGGCTCAAGATCGTCAAAGACGCCCACTCGTCGGACAAGAAGGTGATTCTGGAGGAGGAGCCGGGCGCCGGCTCTGGCCGCGAGCGCAGCCAGCAGCGGCTCAGCTTCGAGACCGAGTACCGCGAGTACTTTGGCCAGAAGCTGCGCCGGCCGGCCATGACGGACGACCCGGGCGCCGAGCTGCCGCGTCAGCTGCCGCGCGACTGGGAGACGGACGTGAGCGTGCGCTACCGCTACTACCGCGACGCCGGCTACTTCCGCGACCAGATGCTGACGCTGGACGAGTACATCAAGTGGGAGCAGTGGTGGTACCGCTACCGCGAGTGGCTGGCCAAGGAGACGCGCCGCGCTCACCTGGAGCGGCCTCCGGCCGAGCAGCTGGGCCTGGCGCCCGTGCGCCGTCTGCGGCCCGTCGACTGGCGGCCGGAGCGCCGCCCGCCGCGCCGCTTCTGAGCGCCGAGTCCGATCTGATGGCGGGCAGACGCACCACGGCGATCCCCAGCGTGGAGCGCCAATCACTGACCGAGTGTGGGACCGGCGCTGGGGAGTACCCAGTGCCCCATTTTATAGGCAGGCTGCAATCTTATCGTGTGGCTTGCTAGACTTTCAATCTCAATCTGCCTTCAGTATTTGTGTGCAGATTTGATTAGCATTTTGTCAGCTTCTCTTATTAAATGCTGGCTGTTACGGAGCAAACCAACATTGCTTCAACTAAACGTCAGCCGTGAGCTATTTGTTACAAACATTTTTATTTGATGGCCTTTGCCACCTTTTAAGTGTCGTGCGGGGTTTGGAGGGGTGAAAAGTTGCCAGGTTTTAGCGGGCAGAGCCGCCTGTGGCGGTCGTGGATTTCGCGGCCGTCCGGCAGCGTGTGTAGACTGTCGGTCCGCCGGCGGCGTGTGTAGACTGTCGGTCCGCTGGCAGCGTGTGTAGACTGTCGGTCCGCCGGCGGCGTGTGTAGACTGTCGGTCCGCTGGCAGGCAGCGTGTGTAGACTGTCGGTCCGCAGGCCCGGCTTGTGGGCCCGCGGCCCTTGCCCGGTGTGAATGAGGTCGTGGGCGGGAGGGCGCGCGCATGCGTCCCGCGACGCTCGGGCAGTGTCTCCCTACTAGTGTCCGTGTGGTATTTCCCTACTGGTGTCCGTGTGGTTCGCGCACGAGTGTCCGTGACCCGTGTGGTTCGCGATCGGTACCTATCTCGGAACCAGTGTCCGTGTGGTTCGCGATCGGTATCTCTGAACCAGTGTCCGTGTGGTTCGCGATCGGTCGCCGTGGGCGGCGGTAGCTCCTGTGACATGATAGTGCTCCTCCCTCAGTCATCCGATGTTGACTCGTAACCTCTCACTGAACAAATAATAACATGGCACGGAGAGTTTATTGTCGGCCGAGACGGTATACACAGCGCGCTGAGTGGGACGATACAGGGGGGGGGGGGGTCACCGGCCGGGCCGGCGACCTCGGGAGTGGTGGCTCGAGTCAGAGTCCTCCGACTCCGAGTCGCTGTCCGAGTCGCTGTCAGAGTCGGACTCCTCCAGCTGTGCCTCCTCCAGCTCCTCCTCCAGAAGTCGTGTGAACACCTCGTATTCGCGGTAGGGCAGGCGCGCCACTCTGAAAAACGCCGCCGGACTCTGGTCAACCTCCGCCGCAGTGGGGAAGGCGTTTTTGGCCATTCTGCAGTCCGTTTTTGCGCGTGTAAAGAAAACCGCGGGACAAATTATTTCAGCTTATCATGCATCGACTATCCATGATGTATAAAAATACCTCAGGTCACATACGGCCAGGACACCCGGTGCCGAGTCACCAAGCCTCCAGCGATCCTGTCATTCCTACAAGCCATGTTGTAATCTCCATATGTGACCTGGGGTCAGGTCAGATCTGTGACCACCATTACAAAGTGAGAAGGGTCACATACATCCTGCATTGAACAAACGCGTCGAAACTGCAAGACAGTTTCAGAAGCATGATAGTTCTGCCCATTAACCATGGATGGGGTGCACCTAACGGTCAGCAGTAGCCCGTGAGGTCATATTACGTCACAAAAGGTCAACAGTTTTTGTTAATTACCTTTGATAGAGATATGGTAGAGCGATGAAACTACCTATAGGTAGTTTCAAAGTGTTCTACTCAACAGTACGAATCGATTGATTGCAACGTAACATTCTCGGCTTGTCCTGACCCATCGCCCTAGGATCAATTTTCGATCTGAGATTGTGAGGCCAAATAATAGTTCATTTGATGCATCAAGACCAGAAGAACACAAACATGATAAAAAATAACAATGGTTGATTCTAAAGCCATCGCACACAAACGCTTCGGCATGTTATTGGTGGTGTTTGCCCTCCGTGGCCACACCGCTGAACAGAGGTCAAATCTGAAACTTCCTCCAGCTAAAAGCCGAATTGGGAAAATTGTAAAATCGGTAAAATTTAACGGGAAGTGACCTCAGCGCTGACCTTAGCGAAAACTGTCCTGTATAATCCTGAAAGACCTTATACCTACAGATCTGTTTGATGATTTCCCGCGTACAAGCCTTCGATTTTTTTAGTCTGTGAGCCATATGGCTCGGCGAAAATGGCTGGACTGTCGTTCAGGAGCCTCGCTGATCCGCACGGGTCACTAGCAGCCGCGCTGCCACACCGGCCACCGCGCAGGGGCACTTCCAAGCGCGCAGTGGCCAGCGCTGGAATAACTGCTCATTATGCACTAGTTGTACAGGGACGTAGCCAAGGGGGGGGGGGCACGGGGCCATGCCCCCTGACGGCGAAAAAAAAAAATAAAGTATAAAAATAAATAAAATCAGCTGCACCACACCCCAAAAAAATAGTGGACCAAATCCGAGGAAGTTTCCTTTTTTGGAGGGGGTACGACACTAGGCCGTGACCTGTGGCCCCTCCCTGACCAAAATCCTGGCTACGTGCCTGTAGTTGTGTACCCGGGTACCGAAACGAAAGCAATTACTGGGTCTGGCAGACGGCACCATTTCTCGACCAGTCACTGTTCGGTTAGTGATTGTGGACCCATAACCCCGACAACTAGGCACTCACGCATCACCGGCCAGGGAAAACTGCGACGGAAGCGGCGCGTGCTGCGAGCCGACTACTCTGTCTCACCTCTGGCAGAAGAGCTCATCCGAGTGGCTGAACATCTCCGTGGGCGCTGGGTTTCCGGTGGGCTCTGTGTCCTTGGCGCGCGGCCGCCGGTAGCCGCCGCTGCGCTCCAGCGCCGTGTGCCGCGCGCGCAGGTGCTCCAGAGGCCACTCCATCGCCGACGAGTGAGCCACCTCGGCCGCCGTCAGGCCCATCGTGTCCAGCAGATAGTCGAGCTTGCGCTCGGTCTCGGCGCCGCGCTCCAGCAGCGCCGCCGGACAGCGCAGCGCCACGCGCGCCGCCTGGTCGGCGGTGAACACCGTCAGCAGACGCATCAGCTGTCGGCGCAGCCGGCCGGCCGGCAGCAGCAGCAGCTGCGGCTGCCGGTGCACCAGCTCCAGCACGGCCCACTCGCCGGCGGGCAGCGCCGCCAGCAGCGCCGCCAGCGTGGCCTCCAGCTCGGCGCCGCGCCGCTCCAGCAGCGCCGGGCAGGCGGCCAGCATGTCGGCCACCTGCTGCGGCGCGCAGCCGCGCCCCAGCAGCGGCGGCACGGCGGCGCGCCAGGCGGCCGGGCCGCGCCGCAGCAGCGCCGGTCGGCCCAGCAGCAGCTCGCTCACCTGCTGTTCGCTGAACTGCAGCTCGTGCAGGAGGCGCAGCACGGCGGCGGCCGACTGCTCGCTGACGGCCAGCAGCCGCTCCTCTTCGGACAGGAGGCGGTAGAGGCGGGCGGCCAGCGCGGCCGGCTCCCACTGCTGCGGCGGCGCGGCCGGTGCTGGCGGCGGGCGGCTCTGGCGCCGGCGGGACGGGCGGCCAGTGGACACCTGGCGCCGCCGGGGCTCACCGAGCCGCGGCACAACCGCAGCGAGCTGCGGCGCCACTGCGCCCGCCTGCAGTCCCTGGCTGTGCATGCTGGCTGCCAGTAACTGGGCAGTAGGAGGCAGGGCACGGCAGTGTGACGACAAAAGGCGCATCACCCTCAGCGGCATACCCAACAGCAGTGGTGCCATTGCTGGAACATAGTTGCAAGGTCGTTTTGATTAGCTCATAGTAGGTACATTTTTACATCTACAGGAACTATTTTCTAGCAAGGTCAATACATATTTTTTAGTATAGCTGTACAATCAATAGTAATTTTCTCACCAGATAGGGCTAGAAGAGAAGACCATGAAGCAGGGTTTGGCAGTCCTTTTAATTTCCAAATAAACAAATACGAATAAACTATTCATGAATAGTTCTATCCGCAAACAACTCATGAGATCAATTGCCAAATCTAAGTGAACAGCAAACAGTTCACAAACAGTTCATGAACTGTTCACAAACATGGTAGAGAGGGGGAGGTCATTTCCCTCTTTGGACTCTTTTAAAACTGAAGAAATTCAGAAAACAGAATCATGAAAAGAAAGAACACATCCTTCTAAGGTAGAAAAGTGAAATCACACATAGATACTTATGATACTTTTTACACAAAATGTTTACAAATTTCACCCATTCCAACCACTTGTTAAGTCAGGTAAGGTTATCTGGTATATAAGCAGATTTAGGTTGTTGGTTAGTTGTGGGTAGGTTGTAGGTTGGTAGATACTAAATGGTGGGTGTAGGTTGGTAGGTTGTAGGTTAGTAGGTAAGGTTAGGTCAAGTTAGATTAGTTTTTTTCCTGCTTGTGCCTGATTTTTTAGCATTAAATGATTGTATGAACAATTATCTAGGTTGATACATGGTTTGTGAAAAGATGGTGTGGTTTTTATTCAATTTTGATTCTTGAGACCAGGGTGCAAAAGAGGGATTTGACCGAGGGGAAGATAAGACCCCCTCCTTCCCCTTTTCACTCCTGGATTACGTCCCTGATTGAGCTACAAACTCGCGGAAAAAGCGAGTGTGCATAATGCATTATTACGAGCCACAGCGAACTGGTACCCAAGGCCCTATCTGGTACAACCTATCTGATTTGGTAAATGTCAAGTTTAAGTCCTAAGAAGATTTCATTGATAAATTTTTCATATTTTTACATTATTTGACATCCTGAATCCAAAAATGATACTCATATGTCTCGCAAATAAAAGAAAAAAACATAATCAAACCTGACCTAACCTTACGTACTTACCTATAACCTACCAACCTACAACCTACAAACCTACCCTAACCTAACCTAACCTACAAACCTACCTACCTACAACCTAAAACCTACAAACCTACAACCTAACCTAACCTAAAACCTAAAATTTTTTGCTGTTTCATATTCGTATCAAAAGCGCCACAATTGTAGTTAGGACCTAAACTTGACATATACCTCTGATTTTAACCCTTGAGGTCAGAAGTGTTCCAGAGTAGTGAGGCGGGAAATGTTCAGAAAGAATCTGATTCACTTTTCAGACAAATGTTGCACATTCTTACACTACCTATTTGACAGCCTGAATCTAGATATGATACTTACATGTGGCACAATTACGAGAAACACAATTTAATGCAATTTAACTTGACCTAGCACATACCGCCTTGGACCACTTGGACGTGTTTTTTTTTAGTCTTATGTTCACTGAGCTCTATAATGCGCTTATGTTGTATTATGTGTTGCATATTCGTATCAGCGGCGCCACAATTGTATCGGACCTTTTCTAAGCGGACAACATTATTCCACCGCCACCCTTGCAGTCATTCTATATCTCAGGAACTGCTGGACGGATCGGAACGAACGAAACACCATTCGAATCACGGGGTAGAATTTTATCAGCCGTTTTGAAGATGGTGACCTCAAGTGACCTGCGTGAGCCCAAAAGGTCAACTTGGCGTTGGCGCCTATTACAGCCATTCTATAACTCAGGAACTACTAAGCCGATCGAGACGAAAACACCACCAATCGATTCAGCGTATGCGATTTCACAAGCCGTTTTGAATCTGGTGACCTCAGGTGACCTTGGTGACCTTGGGAGGTCGCATGACCGTTATATGGCACTTGGCAGTCATTCTATAACTCAGGAACTACTGGGCCGATCGAGATTAAAACACCACCAGTCGATTCAGCGTATGCGATTTCATCAGCTGTTTCGAATATGTTGACCTCAGGTGACCTCGCAGACCTCGGAAGGTCAACATTTACGTGTTCGCATATTGCAGCCATTCTATAACTCAGGAACTACTGGGTCGATCGAGACGAAAACACCACCAGTCGATTTAGCATATGCGATGTCATCAGCCGCTTCGAATATGGTGACCTCAGGGCCCTGTTTCACCGGTGATAGCAGCACGCCGATTTTACGACTTGTCAAATTGGGTTTCCATGGAGACATCAACAGGCCCATTGCTCCAACACTACCACAAGTGTGACGTCAGCTCGCGCAATTTGATAGCAGCGTGGTAGCAGCAGCCCGTGAAACACCGCCCAGGTGACTTCGGTGACCTCGGGACGTCACATGACCGTTGTCGCCTAAGGCAGCCATTATTTTATAACTCAGGAACTACTCGGCCGATCGAGACGAAAACACCACCAGTCTATTTAGCGTATGCGATTTCGTTGGGAGTTCCGAATATGGTGACCTCAGGTGTCTGGTCACAGGTCACTAACTATGGTGACCTTTGCGAGGTCACATGACCGTTGCGCCTATGGCAGCCATTCTATAACTCAGGAACTACTGGGCTGATTGAGACGAAAACACCACTAGTCGATTCAGCGTAAGCGTCATCGAGGTCAGCATATTCGAAACGGCTGATGAAATCGCATACTATAGTGCCCGACATGGTTTCGGGCAGTCTCGGGAAGCAGGTAATAGGTAAAAGGTCATTTGGGTCATGATCGTGAAATTTTTCAGATTGGTGTAAATTTGATGGCACTGAGTTTTGTCGCAATGGGCCGCTTTCGCTGTAGTTATTCGCGAGAAAAAAAAAACTGATGGGCCCGGGCCTGTCTACAACTGTTACAGTTACCGTATTCACGTGTTTGCTTTCACATAAAACGTCGACCATACCTATCTACTGTCTTCTGACCCTATCGTCTTTGCAGCGCACTTCCAAACTGCTGGAAAAGCTCGACTAAAAACCGACCATGTATTATGAATGAAATCATGTCGAGCGCGATAAACACCGGCCAAGAACAACAGCAACTTGACAAATCTGAACACAGCAGAATTTCATGTATCCAGTCACTTCCTAGCAAATCGAAGTGCATAAGATGAGACATTTTCTTCTCACGTACGCACGCCCAGATAGATTCCAGTCATCCATCCAAACAAATGAGTCGAGCGTTTGTACTTGTTTCACCAATTTGGCCGATGCGCAGGTTCAGTGACTAGGTTGCCGTGTCGCCTGTTGCGTGAATCGGTCGTCAGGAGCGCTTTTGTGCAGTGATTTCTCGGCCCCGCGCGGCCGCCCCGCTTACACCTATGGTCGTCTGCCACCGGCGACACGACACTGGCCCGGCCACCTTCGGGTGGAGGCGCGCGAACAGACGCAGCGGCATTGTCGGCATGCGCCGCGTGGGCTCCACTCACCGAGCCGCTAGCAGGCCTACAGGGTCGACCAGCAGCCCTCCTCGCCCACACAGGCAGAAACAGCAGGCCGACGGCCGACATGCAGGCATCGCGCGCATCGCACGGCGGGTGAACGCGGCCCGACTGCCCCGGCTGGCACAGTGCAGCTATGAGCGGTGTGCTGAGAGCACCCCACCGTACCCAGGCCTTACTCGACAACTAAAACATCACCAAGCCTCGTCTCAGCTGACCGGCAGTCTGACCGCCTGAGGAAGCCAGCGAAGGCCACAATGACTCGGACACCACAGTCGACGCAGTGGCACTGCCGTGTGTGTGTGACTACGACTTATTAGAAAGCAACTACATCAGTAATCGTTGTCACCGAACAATCTACTCCATATTCAACAACTGTATGATGACAAGCTTGAATGATGTCACAATTTTTTCGCAGTTTTAGCATCAATCATCGTTTTATATTCTACTTGAACTCTTGCCAACCCAACCTACCCGTTATTCAAGTAAGCTAACTAAATACTATAAATGTAGATGTAGGTACCAGATATCAAATCGACTATTCTGAAGCAGTTGTCAACCTTTTCGATCTCATTATAAATTACACACTCGCCTAGACATGACGCTAGTCATTTGTTGTTACCAATACGGCACTCAACTGGCACGCAGTATCGATGTAAGCACCCAATAGTACTAATTTCTGTTAGCTCTCATTTCACAATGGTCGGCACTCGACTGCATCGGCACAATATCGTCAATAGTCATGAATGTGCTGAATACGCGGTCAGATCGAGATTCGGATAATTATATAGGAAAAGCATTCCTGATGAAATAGCTAAGACGATTCAGCTCACTCCAAAAGACGAACATTCACTTTTTCAGCTCACTCCATTTTCTACGGCGACACACATCATGCAGATCCCCAGCCCAAGGGTATGTACGCGGGCACTTGCCATCTCGTTGGTCAGACGTGACGGCCGTTGTCTGTCCCCGACTGGAAGAACCCTAAACATGCACTTTTTCCCAGCTAGCCCAGAAAACGGCCGGGCAGTCAGGCCCACACGATACATGGGGTAAGCTCCGTTGATCCTTTATAGACCAAAGTTCCGCTCTCAGCCGTCACGATTCCAGGGACGGGCTTCGGTGACAGGTCCCGGGAGGCTGTCCGTGTCCCGGGAGGCTGTCCGTGGTCCCGGGAACCCCGGTGACAGGGCCAGGGAGGCTGTCCCTGTCCACCGAGACAGGTCCGCCGAGACCGATGGAGTCCGCTCAGACGGGCGTTCCGCTCAGACGGACGGCCCGCTCGGACGGGCGGGGTCCGCTCAGAAGGGCAGAGTCCGCTCAGATGGACGGCCCGCTCAGATGGGCGGCGGCCCGCTGATGTAGCGCAGCTGCGGGGTCAGCGAGCGCGCCAGGTAGTTGAGGTCGTCGCAGCAGCCCGGCTCGAGCAGGTAGGCGGCGCACAGCGCCAGCAGCAGCGCCACCTGGAAGGGCAGCGCGGCGCGCAGCCAGCGGCGCGTCCAGCTGCGCCGGCCGGTCCGGCCGCGCGGCGCCGCCGGACCGCCGGCCGCGCCGCCCCTCCTCCTGCCGGCCGACACCACACCAGAGCCGGTCACACGGGTGCGTATTATTTAGGCCAGGGTTCATAATGTCCAGGGCACAATGGGTCCAGTGCTCGAATTGGCCAGTGCCTTGAATGGGCCAGAGTTCATAGTGTCCAGGGATTACATGGTCCAAAAGTGGCCAACTGGCTGCAGATAGGGTAAATACTGGACACATCGTGCCCTGGACATTATGAACCCTGGCCTCTTTGAATTTACCCTATCTGCAGCCAGTTGGCCACTTTTGGACCATGTAATCCCTGGACACTATGAACTCTGGCCCATTCAAGGCACTGGCCAATTCGAGCACTGGACCCATTGTGCCCTGGACATTATGAACCCTGGCCTAAATAATAGGGGAAGTTGGGGCAATGCCGGAGTTGGGGCAAAGCCGAAATTCGAGATATTTCGAAAACCGTAAGACATGGATGCCACCTGTCAGTGATGCTCTGAAGCTTAAGTGACTACAATTATCGCATGTTTGTTACGAGTCGTCATTCGGAATACTTCGACTGTGAGGGCGCCAAGAGCGTTTTCAAGGTACGTTTCCCTTGTACTACATGCGCCTTTGAAGCTGCATTTTTTACTCATTATGCTACCGTTTGTCTGGCCAATTCGGTCAAGTAATCTTTAGCATGTCTTTGCATAAGTGTGCTGCCTATTTGAAATTTATGCAGCACGTTGAAAAGTTATGGGCCTGCAAATGAAAGTATGGCTGGCTGGGGTAATGCCGAAAACGTGCGATTACGCACGTGTTAAAAGCACGCTACGTGGACTTTACTGCTGTAGAATAGCAACGCGTATTTTTAGTCACACAAATTACACTTTCAACCGACATAACGGCCTGTTACCTATAAGGAATGATTTACCTGGCATTTTCTTATTATATCACACAATTATAACTTCCAGTGTGCACCGCGTCCTCAAGCTCTTGAAACGTGTGTCAGCTTTGATGAATTCTGGATAAAGTTTGAAATAAAATGGCAAAACATCAATGTCGGCATTCCCCGTAGATCATTTCTCCCATTTTCGGCTTTCCCCGCAGTCCGGGGCAACGCCGAAAAAGTCACTTCTTTGATATTTTTAGTTTGTGCGCTTAACGGCATGCGAATTCATCAAATGCGCCTGGTATGTTTGAAAGGCAAAAGACTGGCCTCTCGAATGACGCCAACAAGAATAGCGTATGTTGTCTACCTTGCGTGCTACGGGCGTCAGAAAAAAAGTCTTCGGCGTTCCCCCAACTTCCCCTACGCACCCCAGATAGGTTAGGTTAGGTTAGGTTAGGTTAGGTTAGGTTAGGTTAGGTTAGGTTAGGTTAGGTTAGGTTAGGTTAGGTTAGGTTAGGTTAGGTTAGGTTTGGTTGGGTTGGGTTGACTATGTAATCCCTGGACACTATGAACTCTGGCCCATTCAAGGCACTGGCAATTTTGAACACTGGACACATCGTGCCCTGGACATTATGAACCCTGGCCATTTCGAACACTGGACACATCGTGCCCTGGACATTATGAACCCTGGCCATTTTGAACACTGGACACATCGTGCCCTGGACATTATGAACCCTGGCCTCTTTGAATTTACCCTATCTGCAGCCAGTTGGCCACTTTTGGACCATGTAATCCCTGGACACTATGAACTCTGGCCCATTCAAGGCACTGGCCAATTCGAGCACTGGACCCATTGTGCCCTGGACATTATGAACCCTGGCCTAAATAATACGCACCCGAATTTAAAGAGGCCAGGGTTCATAATGTCCAGGGCACGATGTGTCCAGTGTTCAAAATGGCCAGGGTTCATAATGTCCAGGGCACGATGTGTCCAGTGTTCGAAATGGCCAGGGTTCATAATGTCCAGGGCACGATGTGTCCAGTGTTCAAAATGGCCAGTGCCTTGAATGGGCCAGAGTTCATAGTGTCCAGGGATTACATAGTCAACCCAACCCAACCAAACCAAACCTAACCTAACCTAACCTAACCTAACCTAACCTAACCTAACCTAACCTAACCTAACCTAACCTAACCTAACCTAACCTAACCTAACCTAACCTAACCTAACCTAACCTAACCTAACCTAACCTAACCTAACCTAACCTAACCTAACCTAAGGTAATGATGTTTGCCTACCAGGGATAAGGAAATAGTTTCTCGCATGAATAGATTGCAAGCCAAGGCCTCGTCTAACATGTTAACTGGGGGGGGCTAAACCCCCGCAGTCATCGACCTGGCCCCCCCAGTCAGGGCAAAAAGTCACTACTGGGGGGCCGGCAATAGCCAAAAGACAAACTAATTTTTATTTCGAGGCGTCAGTGCACATAAAAACAAATGCGTAAACGAAACGATGCAATGTGAGCACATTGAAATACCTCATTACCTAGGGCTGTTATGTGTTTATTTTGTTTACCTGAACCTTTTTTTTCGCTCAGCAATGCGTTACATTTCGTCTTTTCAGGCGCCCAACTCCGTGTCCCGGATATTCTTTTTTCATAAATTTAGTCCGAACCTTTTGAATGGAAGGATTCACAAGTACAGAGCCCCCGCTAAGCAGAGCTTTGCGTTGGCCCTGCCCTCTACCCTCCGATCGCGCAATTCGTGATCTATGGCAGAATTTAGAGCCCAAAGTTTAACGTATGCACATAGCCGCACATGGCCGGTCCCCTCACTGACTTCGAATGGCTACGGCCTGCCACCAACCGTAGGTAACCATGTACTCGCCAGGAGGGTCATAAAGATCGAGCGATGTCGCGCTTCGAACCCGGACTGTTATAACCGAGACGCGTGCCCTCACCACGCGGAGTCCAAGGCTCTACCGGCAACAATTTCTCCTTTAGGTATCAATCTGTTGTTTCTGTCTTCGCCCCTCGGGGCGTCAATCCCTTGTTTTTGCCTATCGTCGTCCTCGCTAGCGGCGTCCAACTTCTGGCTGGACGGTCACCGGTGTACGGCTAGAGTAGCTCCTAATCGTAATGAAGCAGGCTCCCGTTCTGGGTGGTCGTACGCAGGCGCAGATGCCAGATTGGTGGTCTGTCTGTGGGGACGGGAACTCTGACAGCTGGATTATCTAAAGAAGTCGGCATGGAGTCCTGGGGGGCAAATGCCAGCCACTTAGGGTCCCAACGGGCCTCAAAGCACTACTACACGGGGTAATCTTCATTTTTGTTTAGTTTATAGCCTCTGACGACCTTAAGGTTGTGTTGAAGATCCACGGCGATTACGGAGAATCCACCTGAGAAGCCATCAGTCTCCAAGTTGATACACAGGCATCTGGTCTGAGGGGGCCCTAGTGGGAAAATACGGTCTCCACTCAGATTGACCATTAAAGCCTGGTATGGATCATATAAAACCAGTGTGGGCTACCATAGAGGCCGAAATATAGGTCCAGACGTTGGCATTAGCCCTCAGAGATCGGCATCGAGCGCTCAGAGGGGCCCATCTGAAACCGATGTGGTTCGCAAAAAAATACATATGCGTGTGGGCCCTCGACATAAGGCTCGGCATGCAAATTCCTTAGACAAGGCACTGCCACTCAATCACACGCTCAACAACGAGAAGTGTGATTATTATTGCCTGATGGGGCAATGTGAGGGGGCTATAAACTAATAGGTATACAAGCATGGGTCGGATGGCCTACTATTTTTTTTAGTTTTCAAAAAAAAATCATGGTATCAGGGCTGTGATGAAAAATAAGTGGTCTAAATCCGGTGAGAAAACAGGATTTGGGGGTACCCTACACTGTAAAAAATGTTAACTAACTTCCGTGTTATCATGGCAAATCTCACTAACCTAAAGCGTGTAAAGTTTACACGCATCTACTGGCCAACCGTGTTTTATATAACACGCTTTTAAGAAAAAACGTTATGAAACTAAGACATTAGTTTTCGACGTGGTGTTGACCTACACGCCTTTTGCGTATGACCGTGTTACTTAACTAATATCTTCCTATCAATGTACTAATATTATGCGTGTAAAGTAACTAAAAAGTTAGTTATCCTGGCAAATCTCACTAGGCGAAAGCGTGTGAAGCTTACTAGCATTTTGCGTGTAAGCGTGTTTCCTTTTGTGCGTGTTATGTAACACCGAAGTTAGTTATCATGCAACTAGGCATCGCCTAGTTGCAGGATAACTAACTTCGGTGCTACATAACACACACAGAAGAAAACACGCTTACACTCAAAATGTGAGTAAGCTTCACAAGCTTCTGCCGAGATTTGCATGCAACGTGCAATGTTATCCAGGCAAATATCATTAGCCAAATGCGTGTAAACTTCGGGATGCAGTGTGTAAATACAAAGTTTACACGCATTTGGTTAGTGAGATTTGCCAGGATTACTCGAAACGTGCAAATATGTTTTACAGTATATAGGTTTGGCTCCTTCAGTCTCTGGCCCCCCCCAGTGAAAATTCCTTAGACGAGGCCCTGTTGCAAGCAATAGTAAATCAAATATTTTTAGGTTAAGTGGTTATGCATCAGGCTTCAGGCCTTCGGCCTGAAGCCAGATACATAACCACTTAACCTAAAAATATTTGATTTACTATTGCCTGTAATCTCTCCTAAGGCATTGCCTTCGGCACTGCACTGCTTTGCATTGAGCTGATTCCGTGTTTTTTACATAATGACGTCACTTCCAGTGACTATGTAATCCCTGGACATTATGAACTCTGGCCCATTCAAGGCACTGGCCATTTTGAACACTGGACACATCGTGCCCTGGACATTATGAACCCTGGCCATTTCGAATACTGGACACATCGTGCCCTGGACATTATGAACCCTGGCCATTTTGAACACTGGACACATCGTGCCCTGGACATTATGAACCCTGGCCTCTTTGAATATACCCTATCTGCAGCCAGTTGGCCACATTTGGACCATGCAATCCCTGGACATTATGAACTCTGGCCCATTCAAGGCACTGGCCATTTTGACACTGGGCATAGCGTACCCTGGACATTATGAACCCTGGCCAGAATGAATGCTCCCCCGGTCCCACAGCGCCGGTCACACAGCGCCGGTCACACTGCACCAGTCACACCAGCACCGGTCACACCAGAGCCGGTCCCACAGCGCCGGTCACACAGCGCCGGTCACACCAGCACCGGTCACACAGCGCCGGTCCCACGGCCGACTCCGGGACGGACCCGGACGCGCTAACGGCCAATACGCAACCAGAAACTAAACATTGGCGCATTTCCAGCGCAGCATGAAGTATGAAATGGGGACGGAAAACGGGCACTGTTCATTACATATAAGCAGTTCAGAACAAATATCAGTTACGGTGCAACTCAGTACCGCAGCAGTAACGGCGTCCGTCAGCGGGTATGTAGGTATAGTGTCGCTGGCGAGGCGTCCAGGCTGCCCAATGCTCACCTGAGCACGGGGCCGGTCCTCTGGCGCCAGCCGCCAGCTACAGACTGGGCTGGCAGCTGCCGGGCGGTGCGCGCTACCAGCTGCTGGCAGCTCAGCTGCAGCTGCCGCAGGTCGGTGCTCACCTCCGATAGGCTCTGAGCACGGGCGGCGGGGGGAGGGGTGTCAGAACGAACCCACTGACTGAGACGAGCACGGGCGGCGGGGGGAGGGGTGTCAGAACGAACCCACTGACTGAGACGAGCACGGGCGGGGGGGGGGGGGTGTCAGAACGAACCCACTGACTGAGACGAGCACGGGCGGCGGGGGAGGGAGGGGTGTCAGAACGAACCCACTGACTGAGACGAGCACGGGCGGCGGGGGGAGGGGTGTCAGAACGAACCCACTGACTGAGACGAGCACGGGCGGCGGGGGGAGGGGTGTCAGAACGAACCCACTGACTGAGACGAGCACGGGCGGCGGGGGGGGGGGGGGGCGTCAGAACGAACCTACTGACTGAGACGAGCACGGGCGGGGGGGGGGGGTGTCAGAACGAACCTACTGACTGAGACGAGCACGGGCGGGGGGGGGGGGGGGTGTCAGAACGAACCCACTGACTGAGACGAGCACGGGCGGCGGGGGGGGGTGTCAGAACGAACCCACTGACTGAGACGAGCACGGGCGGCGGGGGGGGGGGGGGTGTCAGAACGAACCCACTGACTGAGACGAGCATGGGCGGGGGGGGGGTGTCAGAACGAACCCACTGACTGAGACGAGCACGGGCGGCGGGGGGGGGGTGTCAGAACGAACCCACTGACTGAGACGAGCACGGGCGGTGGGGGGAGGGGTGTCAGAACGAACCCACTGACTGAGACGAGCACGGGCGGCGGGGGGGGGGTGTCAGAACGAACCCACTGACTGAGACGAGCACGGGCGGTGGGGGGAGGGGTGTCAGAACGAACCCACTGACTGAGACGAGCACGGGCGGGGGGGGGGGTGTCAGAACGAACCCACTGACTGAGACGAGCACGGGCGGCGGGGGAGGGAGGGGTGTCAGAACGAACCCACTGACTAAGACGAGCACGGGCGGCGGGGGGAGGGGTGTCAGAACGAACCCACTGACTGAGACGAGCACGGGCGGGGGGGGGGTGTCAGAACGAACCCACTGACTGAGACGAGCACGGGCGGCGGGGGAGGGAGGGGTGTCAGAACGAACCCACTGACTAAGACGAGCACGGGCGGCGGGGGGAGGGGTGTCAGAACGAACCCACTGACTGAGACGAGCACGGGCGGCGGGGGAGGGTGTCAGAACGAACCCACTGACTGAGACGAGCACGGGCGGCGGGGCGAGGGGTGTCAGAACGAACCCACTGACTGACGACGAGCACGGGCGGCGGGGGGGGGGGGGGGGTGTCAGAACGAACCCACTGACTGAGACGAGCACGGGCGGCGGGGGGAGGGGTGTCAGAACGAACCCACTGACTGAGACGAGCACGGGCGGGGGGGGGGGGGTGTCAGAACATAACCACTGACTGAGACGAGCACGGGCGGCGGGGGGAGGGGTGTCAGAACGAACCCACTGATTGACACGAGCACGGGCGGCGGGGGGAGGGGTGTCAGAACGAACCCACTGACTGAGACGAGCACGGGCGGCCGCGGCGGGGGGAGGGGTGTCAGAACGAACCCACTGACTGAGACGAGCACGGGCGGCGGGGGGGAGGGGTGTCAGAACGAACCCACTGACTGAGACGAGCACGGGCGGCGGGGCGAGGGGTGTCAGAACGAACCCACTGACTGACAGGCTCTGAACAAGAGGGAGTCGAACCCACTGACCGATAGGGAGAGAGAGAAGGGGAGAGAATAGATGCGAGCTCATCCAGAATGTCCTACATATACTGTTACAGGCCACCTGACAAACCAGCCAGATCTGGACGTGTGTGATGAGTCCCCTCCCGGTCCGTACGTGTGTGATGCGTCCCTCTCGGTCCGTACGTGTGTGATGTGTCCCTCCCGGTCCGTACGTGTGTGATGGGTCCCTCCCGGTCCGTACGTGTGTGATGCGTCCCTCCCGGTTCGTACGTGTGTGGTGTGCCCCCTCCCGGTCCGTACGTGTGTGATGGGTCCCTCCCGGTCCGTACGTGTGTGATGCGTCCCTCCCGGTCCGTACGTGTGTGATGGGTCCCCTCCCGGTCCGTACGTGTGTGATGAGTCCCCTCCTGGTTCGTATGTGTGTGATCTTTCCCTTCCCGGTCCGTACGTGTGTGATGTGTCCCCTCCCGGTCCGTACGTGTGTGATGAGTCCCCTCCCGGTCCGTACGTGTGTAGTGTGCCCCCTCCCGGTCCGTACGTGTGTGATGGGTCCCTCCCGGTCCGTACGTGTGTGATGCGTCCCTCCCGGTCCGTACGTGTGTGATGGGTCCCCGCCCGGTCCGTACGTGTGTGATGTGTCCCTCCCGGTCCGTACGTGTGTGAGTGTCCCTCCCGGTCCGTCCGTATGTAGTGGGTCCCTCCCGGTCCGTACATACGTGTGTGGTATGCCCCCTCCCGGTCCGTACGTGTGTGATGCGTCCCTCCCGGTCCGTACGTGTGTGATGCGTCCCTCCCGGTCCGTACGTGTGTGATGTGCCCTCCCGGTCCGTACGTGCGTGATGCCGCTCCAGGCGGGCCCGGCCGGCGCCAGCAGCGTTTCCAGGCCGTTGGCCATGCGCCTCAGTCGGCCCAGCCGGCGCTCGCGCTCACTGAGCTCGTCCGAGCAGGCGCTGTCGTAGCCGGAGGTGCCCTCGGAGAGCTCGTCCGGGCCGCCGCCGGACCGCCCGGCCACCGAGCCCCGGTCGGCGCTCTGGGGACAGACGGGGGGACGCAGGCAATGAGAGGCCGGAGGGAGCGTGGTTTGGGCTGGCACTCACATCTGCGGCGCCGCGCAGCTGGCATAGACCGCTGCCACGTCACCGGCCGGCAGCCGGCAGCGGGACGGCGTGCAACTGACCGACGCTCATTTCAGAGGCTGCTGCAGCACGTCAGTTATTTGTTTTCATTGCCATTTTATACCACAAACAGTGAGCACCAAGCAATGGGCAAACGTCGCCGTAACTGCAACAGCTCATTCACTCATCGTTCTTAAGATCTGACGTTTTTTCCGCACCACAATGTGTGGAAGTAACCTGGCAACTGCGAACCGGCAGCTCCCGATCACCTCTGCCGGCTCACCGTCAGTGCGGGCCGCCGAGCCGCCGCGCCGGCGGCGTCCGCCCCCGTCGGCTCGGAGTCGGCGCCGTCCGCACTGCCGTCGATGGTCCGCTGCAGCACGGAGAGGCGGCGTCTGTCGGCCTCCATGTCGGCCGCCAGAGCCGCCCGCTCCGCCTCGAACTCGCGCCAGGTGGCAGCGGCGTCCGACAGGTGCTCCAGCTGGGACTGTGTTCTGGGAGCACAGGAGCACACCGTCAGCGGTCACAGCGTCCGACAGGTGCTCCAGCTGGGACTGTGTTCTGGGAGCACAGGAGCACACCGTCAGCGGTCACAGCGTCCGGCAGGTGCTCCAGCTGGGACTGTGTTCTGGGAGCACAGGGGCACAACGTTGGCGGTCACAGCGTGACAGCGTCCGCTAGATGCTCCACTTCACCATGCATCCAGAGAATACATTTCATGCATTTTACTGTCAGCAGACAGCTAACAGCACGAGGTAGTAGAGCACCCCGGAACACTGGCTGTGCAGCTCGACTGACCTGTGGCTGACCTCGTCCCAGATGCGGTACAGGCTGGCCACGTCGTCTTTGAGCGAGCTGTGCCCGCCGCCGGCGACATAGCCGTGCACGTCGGCATTGATGTCGACCAGCTGCAGCCGTCGGTCTGCCAGCTGCTGCTGCAGGGCCTGCGGTACGACGGGACGGGGCGTCAGCGGCGGACCGTGCCATCACGGCACTGGGACATCAGTACCATCACAGTGTCATCACGGCACTGGGACATCAGCGGCGGACAGCGCCATCACAGTACTGGGACATCAGTACCATCACAGCACTGGGACGTCAGTGTCATCACAGCACTGGGACATCAGTACCATCACAGCACTGGGACATCAGTACCATCACAGCACTGGGACATCAGTACCATCACAGCACTGGGACATCAGTACCATCACAGTACTGGGACGTCAGTGTCATCACAGCACTGGGACATCAGTACCATCACAGCACTGGGACGTCAGTACCATCACAGCACTGGGACATCAGTACCATCACAGCACTGAGACATCAGTACCATCACAGCACTGGGACATCAGTACCATCACAGCACTGGGACATCAGTACCATCACAGTACTGGGACGTCAGTACCATCAAAGCACTGGGACGTCAGCGCCATCACGGCACTGGGGCGTCAGCTGCGGACCGTGCCATCACAGCACTGGAAACAGCACTGGGACATCAGCGGCGGTAACTGCTATCACAAATTCACATCAGTGAGCCGTGCCATATTGGGAGTAGATTAACCCGCGCACCGACGGGGGTCTGCGCCAACTTAGTACCGACGGGGGGGGGCGGATGACCGCCCCCCCCCCTGAGATCTCGAGAACGAAGCAAGATAGCGACAAGCGGTAAACGGCATCGGATACGCACGGTCAAGATCTACAATTTTTACTAAGGTCATTTTCAGGTCAGGTCAAAGATGACGTCACAGGGGTCGAAAAAGTCAAAATGGCGGCGCTGAATATGGAGAGAGTTTTTCTCGAATAACTTTCGAATTAGTCAAGATAGGAACAAACTAAGGGCATCATCGTGATCCTCTCGTCAATCCGCATCGAATGATATATATGTTGACCTCGAAAGGTCAAGGTCAAAGGTTGACCTCAGGTCACGTGACCTCGAGGTCATCATGTATATCATTCGATGCGTCTTGACGAGCTGAACACAATGAGACCATCCACGCGTCTGTATCTTGTTCCTGTACGGAGTTATTGGCCAAAAACATTTGGTGACCTTTGATGACGTCACATGACCTCACAGCTGCCCAACAGCAAAACAGACCTCAAGGTAGTGAAGGTTGATCGTATATGAAGTCATGTATTGTATATGGGGCCATTCCGACCCGTTTTAGTGGTAAAAACAGGGAGTTGATTTTTCCCCCATTGACTTATAATGGGGAGGTCGCGAAATTGACCTGACCTTAGGTCACCGATATCAAAATTCCGAGATATACAAATTGTAGCTACTAATGACCTAATAACATCCTGCGACTTTCAAAGGCCTCCGACATCTATTGTAGCTCTGGCACGGTGACAAAGTTGCAAAAAAGTGACTTGAGGTTGGGTCATTCAAAGTGACCTGGTGACCTGACCTTAAAAGGTAGGAGGTTCAAACTTGCACACCATGTGTAAAATTGATAAGGGAATAGTCATACCAAATTTCGCGGCGCTACGCGCCGCGGTTTTCCCGCTATTCGCGAAAAACCTCAGGGGGGGCGGATATCCGCCCCCCCCCGTCGGTGCGCGGGTTAAAGAACTAAACAATGCAATAAATATTAACCCTCGCACTTACAGGGCGAGGGGTTCGAACGTTCACTTGTTTTTTTTGCGAATAGCTCGTGTAAAAAGCGGCCGATCGCGACGAAATTTTCAATATCCTCGAGGTAACCAATTTTACACCTACCCTAAAAATTTCATAACCCTGACCGAAACAACATTTGACCTGTGACCTTTTCTCGAGACCATGTTTGGTCGGAAACGCGATTCGGCGTATGTCGGCTCACATTGTCCGTCCGCGCATTTAGCAGTTTTCTTGCGGATTTAAAGGGACCCTCCCACCTTAACATTAGATTTGAGTTGAGATAGCCAAAATGGGGTCCCTGGCTCACAATTACCGGTTTCGGCACTCACAACATCGAGAAATGCCTTAAATCGGAAATATTGAATTTCAAAATTGCAGCATTTTGATTCAGAGGGGCTAATGCTTAGGAATACCCCTCTGAATGTGTGACGTCAGCGCAAATATCTAACGATTTTTACATGTTTGACTAAAACGTTTTGTAGCACGCGGTGGTATATGCTATTTGCGCGCAACATCTGCCGCAAACGCCGCACTTCTAAAATAAAGTCGCTAGAAACAGCGGAGATCCCAAAAAAGTAAACAAAAGTAAAAGTCTAATATCTTGAAAACCGGTGAATATTTTTCGGTGAAATTTGGTAGATATTCGTTTTCGCTCTTTCTGAACCGAGCGACATCGCTTTCATGCCAATTCATAAACTTTTTGAAGGTGGGAGGGTCCCTTTAAACGTTGAAACATGTGAAATGACGTCGGTTCCATGCATTATGGTGGGTGTCAAGGTCACCTGAAGGTCAGGTCAGGAAATGGACCTTTGATGACCTCGGTTCACGACTCACGTTGTCGAGTTTACATGTTTCTAGGCTAGTTTTTGGAGCTGAATTCGAATTTAGCAACCGTTTGAACATTTACGAAGTTGTTTTGGTGCCTTCGTAACATGTTACGAAGCAGTCAGTGATGGTTGACACTATGAATACCCGGCAGGACGCCTGCTGGTTGACCTGACCTGACCTGACCCGACCTGGTCTAAATGCATGAAGACATCATCTGTGATCATGGGCGCCGCCACCGGGGGGGACGGGGGGGACGCGTCCCCCCCACTCTCAGAATGGAAGGGGGACGTCCCCCCCAAACTCATTACGGAGCGAGCGAAGCGAGCGTAGTCTTTCGTAGGTTAACGGAAATTTCTGAGTATGCCGTACTGGTCACGCTTTTGCTAGGCTTATATCTCAGTAACCACTTGACCGATTTACATGCGGTAATTTTTGTAGGGTAGCACTAGATTCATTCCTTCTAACGAGCATGGGATTATTCCCGATGCATGTGAGTGACCCCATATGCATTATGCACGTGCCACGTGAAAAACGAAGAGGTGTCAGTTTTGTAACAATTTCAATATCTCGGCAACTACTGGGCCGATTGCGCTGAAAGTTTGGCATGTAGCTGGTATAGGTATACCCACTAGGCAATGCATATCCGTGTGCCACAGTTGGGATGCTGCTGCACGACGCACGTGCGCACATGCAGGGGTCGATTCCAGATCTCGAGAACGGCTGAACCGATTGTGCTGAAATTTGATACATGGTTAGGGACCGGTTAGTAGGGTGCCGTGCAAAAGTCAGTTGGGACCCATTTTGCACGTGCGCACGTGCAGGGTGCCGCTTCCAGATCTCGAGAACGGCTAGGCCAATTGCGCTCAAATTTGGCACATCGTTAGGGACCGGTTAGAAGGGTGCAGTGCACAAGTTAGTTGGAGGTATCCCCCTCGCAAGCTCGCACGTGCAAGGCCCACCCCACCCTCTCGCTCGCTCCGTTGGTCGCCCCAAAAGGCGTTTTACTTATTGTTATCCTACTCGAAATTTGATTAGGCCCTTCGGTCAAATGAGACCATTTCAGAGCCGCAAGTATGAAAGAATTAGTGGGAGACATTGGTCGGGGCAGCCACCCCAGTGAGCCACTTGGGATGAACCCGACCAATTAAACAGGCAGCCCAGCCCACTCGCACTCACTGCACCCGGCAAAGGACTATAGCTCCAGTGGAGCCATTCCCGCATGGGATAGAGTTGCCCGTCCAGCCCGGAGCAGGGGGTTGCGGCGTGGAGGAGAAGGATTTGACTGTCCTGAGGATGGAAGAGATGGAACGGCCGGTGCCGAATCTGAGAGGGTCCAGGGGGTTTAGATACTCAGTATATGGGTGTGGGCCTACATGCATTGGTCTGGCCCCTGCCACCTCGGCCAACAAAATCTCCAGCTCTTATCCGACCTGTCATCGCGGAACTGTCGATTTTGATATCGTGATCAACGTGTGTCGTATAACACGACTGGCCGAACACGGGCCTAATACCTATATTTCGTCTAACCAGCCAAGAGCATGACTTTACACTAATCCGACCTCGAAGTCAAAATCCGAACATTTTCGAAGACTTCAACTCCGACTCTGGCCAAAACTGGCCAAAACAGTCAACTCCGACTGATTCCGGCTCCGACTCCACACTTCTGCAGTCCCGCTACACTAAATTTCCAGCTTCTAAGAAATAAGCTATACGGTTGACAGGACCACAAAACTTTGAGGCGACTTGACTAGTTGACTTGGTTTTCCTGACCTAAGGTTTTCTGGTATGGTATCAAGCTTGTTACACGGGCTGCAAAATTCGTATTTTGGAGCAGTTTTGCCTAATGTTTTTTTTTGCCAATTTCCGCGGCGCTTCGCGCCGATTCGTGCATAATCCAATAAGAGAGATTTGTGACGTTCATCTTTCGTAGAGGCTACTTACCTATATTGCAGCGGAAGCTGATTACGCGTTGACCAAGCATAGGCATAGTACGTAGTTCAAACCAGCTGAATGCTGATTGGCTAGCATTTTTCCGTAAGGGAATGGATTCCTCGGTAAGAGAATGACAAAGTGTAATCTATGGGAATGACTTCAGTCTTCAAACCTAAAATCGATACCGATATATTTGGCTAGGGTGATTGTTGGACCATAAAAGCTCCTGATTTGTTCTCGTCTCAGCTCAAGCTACAAAACTGTTACTTCAGTTGAAAACCCTATGTAAAAGTGGCATATTTGCTTTAAACGTTGAATGCATCCGACCGAAAAAGCCACGGTAAGAATGTCTACTTTTGGGTTTTCAGTCGGTCAGTCCGTCCCCCCCAGTCAAAAATCCGTGGCGGCGCCCCTGTCTGTGATCAAAACTAACATGTAATTCGTGATAAGCAACTCGCAAAACCCCACAACAACCTCACTTACGATGTTCTAACAGGTCTCGATTTTCCCGACTTTTGGGTCCCTGCCTGACCTGACCTGGAAGGTCAACCAATGACCTATGGCCCTATAATTGTGTACCAATGGCTGCCTCTCGTCACCGGCAATACGCTCGTTTTTTTTTTTTTAGCGAAGCCCTAGCTCGATTAGAGGCCAAACGGCAAAGGGGTCCAACAGACTTCCCCCCCCCCTCGGACCGGACCCCCGGACCAACTGACAATTACGACCGGCAAAAGACCAATACAGGCGAGGGGCCAGTGTGTGGCGTTTTACAGCGTCTACCGTTTAGGGCAGGGGGTCACTATGTCCGACACCCTCTTGCCGTTCGGCCCCTGATCGAGATAGAGCTTGGCAGAAAAAAAAAACAAGCGTGTTGCCGGTGATGAGACGAAGCCGATGATACCCAATGTTAAGGTCCTAGGTCATTGGTTGACCTAGGACCTTAGGACCTGATCTTTCAGGTCAGATCGATGACCCAAAAGTCGGGAAAACCGGGACCTGAAGCCCTTTTTGGGTTTTTACGGGTGCTGATCACGAATTTCATGCTAGTTTTGATCACATATGATGTCTTCATCCATTTAGGCTAGGTCGGGTCAGGTCAGGTCATTTAGTAGGTGTCCTGCCGGCTGACCATAGTAGGTGTCAACCGCCACTGACGGCGTCGTACGAAGGCATTACGAAGGCACCAAAACTGACTTCGTAAACGTTCAAATGGATGCTTAACTCGAAATCAGCTCTAAAAACTAACATGTAAAACTCGAAAAGTAAACCAAGGTCATCAAAGGTCAATGACCTTGACCTGACCTTCACGTGACCTTGACACCCACCATAATGCATGGGACCAGCATCATTTAACATGTTTGAACGTTTATAATCACTAATGAGGACTGGAAACGAACGGATCGTGAGCTGATATATGCCGAATCGCGATTCCGGCCAAACATGGTCTCGAAAAATAGGTCACAGGTCAAAGGTCATTTGGGTCAGGGTCATGACATTTTTAGGGTAGGTGTAAAATTGGTCAGCTCGAGGGCACTAAAAGTTTCGTCGCGATCCGACACCTTTTGCGCGAGTTATTCGAAAAAAAAACGCTCCCTCCTACAAGTGCGAGGATTAACGGTGAAGAATAAAGAATGACGACCATCAATGAATGAATCAATGAATGTGATTGAATGAAGTAAATACTTTATTAACTTATTATTTACTTAATTAATTGATGACCAATGAACGAGTAGGCGGTACTGAATAAATAAGTCACTTTCCTCGAGTACTGCAACGTCACCAGCTATCTGAGACCCACAGCTACAACAGGCACGAACAGGTGGAGGTGCGAGTTCGGTCGACCGCGCTGCGGTCCAGTCTCACCTTCACGGCTCCGATCCGGTCCTCGAAGTCGTCGACGGTGGCGAGCTGGCGTCCGGCGCTGCCCGCCTGCTCATCCAGCACGGCCAGCACGTGCCGGAACGTCCTGAGGCGGTCCCGCAGCTGGGTGCGCCGGTCCGCGTGCCGCTCCACGGCCATGGCGGCCGTCCGCAGCGCCGACCACTGCTGGACCGAGGCTGCCGGCATGGGACGCAGTCACTGACACAGACCTGCCTACCGTCCGCAGCTCCGACCACTGCTGGGCCGCAGCTGCCGGCACGGGACACAGTCAGTGACACAGACCTGCCTACCGTCCGCAGCTCCGACCACTGCTGGGCACTCAGGGCAGTGGGCCGCGGCTGCTGGCACGGGACATGGCTTCCTCTCTAAATGCCCAATACACCATCACCACATAGCTGTCATCCATTTCCGTTCCAAAGTTGCGCGCAGTCACTACCACGCGGAATGATAAACGTATACATACCTACCTGTAGTGGGCTTACTAAAGTTCCCTAAAAGGCGCGCGTAAATTACCATTCGTCAGTCATGTAATGTAATCGCGTATCGATACGGCTTCACTCCAGTGTCCTATCTCTATAGCCTGCGAGTGTTACCGGTAAGACCCGGTCGCAGCGGGGCGGGGTGTGGTGCGGGCCGCCCACCTGTGAGTTCGGCCAGCGCCGGCCGCTGGTACGGCGAACTGGCGCTCGGTAGGCGCCCAGCGGGTCCAGCTGAGCGCGAAGCTGCTCCAGAACGGTCAGCTCTGAGCGACACGCCGCCACGATACCAGACTGAAACGAGCCACCCCGCGTCAGCAGACCGCAGTACCGGACACAGCACAGGGCCGACACCATTCACAGCGCTCCGCCGCCATCAGCCGCTCTCCTAACGTTATGTTGGGGGGCCAGGAAGCAGCTAGAAGATGAAGGCGCGCTTAGGAAACGGGCGATGAGAGCGCGAAATCAGCATTGACCAGAGAACACACGAAAAGCATAAGACTAAGGCCATAAGCTTGCAAATATGGCCAAAACCAGACAGGGCAGTGTGACAGTAAGGGTGATGGATCACAGGGCAGTGACAGTAAGGGTGATGGATCAGACAGGGCAGAGTGACAGTAAGGGGTGATGGATCAGGCGGGGCAGAGTGACAGTAAGGGTGGTGGATCAGACAGGGCAGAGTGACAGTAAGGGTGATGGATCAGGCGGGGCAGTGTGTCAGTAAGGACGTTTCCTAACGTCATTGCAAACAATGCATCAACATGAAACACCTACCCGATGTTGGATAATGCCACGAAGTAGGACATTATTTACCGATACGATTCAGACTAGCTATCGACTTTTGATACACATCACATGATACATCCAAAGGTCACACAGCACAAAAATAGCGTGCGATCACAATACTACTCATTGAAAGTATGCCTTTTCAATATTCGGTTCTTTCAGGATCTCAATGCAATGCTCTTTACCTACATTGATCCTGGTAGGTAGGTATGCAGTAACAAATCGCGACTGCTAGAATCTGTTACGATAACCTCACGAAGTTTCGGAGTAAGCTCCAAATCTGCCAAACATTTGAACACCTGCATCGCAGTGCCTCCTTCGGTGTTTAAACAGGAGCTCACGAGTCACGATAACATAGGACGCACTACGCACATCTGCAAGGCACCATTGAACTCCATCCGAAACGGGTCACGTGCTGTCATAACACTGCCTCACCAAATATACAGCCTGCCGGACGTCTCACACTCACACACACACACACACACACCACACACACACACACACACACACACACACACACACACACCACACACCCACCACACACCACACTCACACACACACACACCCACACACACACACACACCACACACACACACACACACACACACCACACACACACACTCACACTCACACTCACACTCACACTCACACTCACATCACACTCACACTCACACTCACACTCACACTCACACTCACACACACACACACACACACACACACACACACACACACGCACACGCACACGCACACGCACACGCACACGCACACGCACACGCACACGCACACGCACACGCACACGCACACGCACACGCACGCAGCGGTCTGGCAGTGGGCAGCTCCGCCCGGGCCGTGATCGCTGCCCGGCCGCACCCGCCGACTGTGTCGGCAGCAGGACGCTGTCCAGCCGCGGTCTCGGGACGCGGCACTGGTGCAGGGCAGGCAGACCAGCCCTCCCCGCTCTGCACCTGGCCTAGCTGCCCGCCTCCGTCCCCGTCCCCGGCAGCGGCGGCAGAGGCCGACCTTGAGCCGGCAGCGGCCCGCCCACGCACAGCGGCGGCCACCGCGCGCCGGGGACACCCGTATACCGGCGGACATTCACACGGGGACACCCAACGGCGATATTCACAAGGGGACACCCACGGCGGACATTCACACGGGGACACCCAACCGGCGGACATTCACACGGGGACACCCGTACCGGCGGACATTCACACGGGGACACCCGTACCGGTGGACATTCACACGGGGACACCCGTACCGGCGGACATTCACACGGGGACACCCAACGGCGGACATTCACACGGGGACACCCAACGGCGGACATTCTTCTATTGCTTGGGCAGGGTCCCGCAGTGGTGTAATAGCAGGGCTTTTGTTGACAATCATATGGTACCTGATACTCCTACAGACATGGTTCGCTCCGGTCACGAAAGTCGGTTTAGGTATATTGTACCCACACGGAGTCCGGTTCACCCTCACCTTCAGAGGGTGGTTACTAGAGATGTCAATGGGATACCAACTTTTTGGTATACCGATACCAAACCGATACCAACTTGGTATTTGGTATTTCAATCGTAATGTGTTTGGTATTTTGTTGGTATCATAAGCCCTCACTAATGTATAAGAGGCTAAGAAATCGGTAAAAAGTTGGTATTTCTCTGAGTTCCCCAAGTTGGTTTGGTTTCGGTATTTTCCCATGGTTTTGGTTGGTATTTGGTTTGGTATCGGTATTCCGATTTTCCGTAATTGACATCACTAGTGGTTACTCAGTCCCAGATGGGGTACTGTCAATACTCGGTATTAGGTACTCGTTACCCGTTAATCACACAGATGAGGTCCTGCTGTACTCGGTTATCGGTACTCAGTACCCGTTACTAACACAGATAGAGTCCTGTCGGTACTCGTTACTCGGTACTCGGCAGGCATCGGTAGGATTGTGATTGCAGGATTGCAAAATCCTGATTGCATTCCTTTTTGGTGGATTGCACCTGGATTTGAAATCCATTCCAAAAAAACAGGATTTGATTGCGGATTGGATTGCATCATACTTCCAATTTTTGCAATCCAATCCGGATTGTGTTTGATTAGTGCTTTGAAATGGTTTGTTGCGATTGAAAATTATGAGATCGGCTTCATGTACTTTGCTATCAAGGGCTTTAGGTACATCGAAACTTGAAATAATTTAGACGCTTTTAATTTAAACGCTCAAAATATGTAATATGCGCTGATGAACTACATAGGAAGGGCAAAATTACGTATTTGAGGGCGAGTTTTAAAAATATAAACACTGGTTGGGTAGAGGTTTAAATGTGGGGGTGTTTGAGGCAAAAAAAATATTTCCCATAAAATACCTGTGCCTTAGATAGGAATTACTCGCAAGACTAGGTGCTAGAAATGGGTGATTTGGGGCTGGAGGCACGGCCCTATGCCCCCCTCCCTCCCCCAGATCCACTAGTGCACATAATAATACAACAGGATTGCAAAAAAGGATTGCGGATTTGATCACAATCAAAATGAAAAAAGGGGATTGTGGGTAGGAATGCAATCCACTTCGGCACTAGGAATGTGGATTGGGAATGCAATCCTTTCAAAAGGGATTTTACCGATGCCTGGTACTCGGTACCATTTACTCACACAGATGGGGTCCGGCTGGTTGATACTCAGTACTAGGGTCCGGCTGGCACTCGGTACCATTTACTCACACAGATGGGGTGTCCGGCTAGCACTCGGTACCCGTTACTGACCAGTGGCGGCGGAAGCAGGGGGGCAAGGGGGCAGCTGCACCCTAAAGCTATGGAAAGGGGCGCCTCGAAAATCTGTAGAGGAGGCAGGAAGTTAAGAGGTGCGGCGGCCATAAAGCTGAGCAGTGCGACACCGCAACTGATAAAGGCACTTGTGACACGAAGATGGTGGCAATGACGTGGGAAAAGTATCTTTTGATATGCTGAAGAGTGGAGGGCATCCTTATCTGAAACAAAGGCAGATGCTGCCGACCCTGTCGAATATAATCTTGCCAGGCGATAAAGGCTAGGAGGGCGCAGCCACTCGAGAAGCGCGCCATGCGGAAGAGGGGCGCCTGCATGCGAAAGAGGGGCGCCTGTGTGGGACGAAAAAGAAACATTTATGGAGACGTCTTTGCCGGCGATAGCCTCCGAACGCCAACACGAACATATGAGGGCTTTTTTAGATAGATAGATAGATATTTATTCACAAAAGGTCCACTCAAAAGTGGCTTTTCACTTCCGCACGTCACAAAATAAGACATGAGTAAACATTCACACGCAGCTACTTAAACAGGGTTAAAAGGTATAAAATGAACTAAAAGAAGATAAAGAGCACCAGTTACATAGGAACATCTAAAATTATTCAGTTACCGGACGCCGACCGCTCGGACCTCAGGTGTCTTTTCACGGCTGCCCTGTTCACAGTGCCCTGCGTTCTGCGCACGCTGTTATAGCCCTGCACGGCGCTATAGCACAGCCGATTCCGCCCCGCCTCCGTATGTATGCTCGGCAGTGACAAGCTGTCGGCATCTCGAGTGTCGTGCTGATGCAGCCGGCTCGCTGGGGGACCAATGGTTTCAGCAAGCACCGCTGGCACACGGTGTGTCACAAGTCGATGTACGGACATAATCCTGTGGTACTGAATAAGCTGCTCAGCAGTGAGCCATCTGACATGACAAATGACGTCAGCAACGCGCTGATGTTTGCGTCGCCCGCTCAGCACTCGCGCGGCAAAGTTTACCAGCTTTTGTAGCCGACGCTTCTCCGTCTGACCACATACGCCGAACACCGACAGACAGTACCGCATCGCTGATATCACCAACGCGTCGATCAGATACTTGATCGTGCCGCGAGGCAGGACATGTTTTGCATTGTTTAAGGCGAGCAGCATTCCTGTGCATTTGTGAACGATCAGGCTGACGTGAGACTGAAAAGACAAGTTTCGATCAAAAATGACGCCTAGATTTCGCACCTCTTTGGTAGCTCGAATGGTCGATGCATTAAATTTCACAGACACATCAGGAGTAAGAGCAAGTAATTGTCTACTCCCAAATACCATCAGCTCAGTTTTTGCAGCGTTCACTTTCATTCCATGGTGACAGAACCAGTCAAACAAACACTGCAGAGCAGTTTCGATCCGACTGACCAGGGCAGGTAGGTCGCGTCTCTTTCCACTAGTCCATATCTGTGTATCATCAGCAAACTGAACTATGCGCACTGAGTCTGGAACGTGCAGGCACAGGTCATTGGCAAATATGCACCAGAGAACGCAACTCATCGATCCGCCCTGGTAAACGCCAACCGAATTCTCCCTGATAGACGATCGAGATACGGATCCAAGAGCACTATTTGTAAGTTGTACTTGTTGGGTATGTCCTTCCAGATAATGTTTGATCCAAAAAGTGTCTATTCCGTACAGAGACAGCTTTTCTAATAGCTTATCGTGCGGTACCATATCGAAACACTTTGACAGGTCTACCATAGCCCACAGAGTGATTTCACTTCTGTCCATCGCTCCGAGTATGTCGTCTGTCACCACGTGAAGAGCTGTTTCACACGAATGCTGCCTTCTGTATCCGTGCTGCGCCTCGCTCAGTAGGTGATGTGACTCCATGTATGATGTGAGCTGAAGTTGGGCCGCTCTCTCGGTCACTTTCATGATGGCGGTAGCAGCGAGATTGGGCGCGTGCCCGACGGATCAGATGGTGCCTGCTTCCCCTTCGGAATTGGTGTGATGATTGCACGTTTCCATGCGCTGGGTACTTGGCCGGTCTCGAGGCTGGCGTTTACAGCATCATGTATGATGTGACCGAGGCCGGGGAAGAAGTCCTGCATCATCCTGACGCTGATGCCGTCGTCACCGGCGAAGGTAGATGGCTTCATACCCTGTACTATAGTCCACAGCGTCTCCATGCTGACGGGCTGAATTCTCAGGGCTCCAGACGTAACCCTCGGCAGTCTGATGGGGACCGACTTCGACGGGGCAGGTAAGGTGGAGGCTAGGTCTCGAGCCACCGACGTGTAGTACTCGTTCAGTGTGTCAGCGGTTATACGGCTGATGCCTGACGAGGACTTCTTGGAACCGATGATGGGCCGGAGAACTCTCCACATGTTGCCGGGACCGCTCCTGTGCAGTTTTTCCTGCAGGTCTCTCCGACAGTCAGCTCGAATGGCCGCGCGTGACAGCCGATTCAGCTCTTTGTACTCCTGGTGGCGGCCAGCAGAGAGTGCAGTTCGTCGCTGTGTAAGTAGGTGGCGGGTATCACGGGAGACAGGTGGCGCCCCCTCCGGCCGGAGAACGACGCGTCTCTCGGGCGCCGTCAAGTCGAGAAGTGGTTTGAAGATGTTGATGAAGGCGGTCCACTTCTCCTCAGGTCCGGCGGCGGTGTAGACGGACGCCCAGTTGACGTTCAACAGCTGTCGGTTGAACTGTCCTTTGTCTACGTTCGCTAAACACCTTCGCCGGACGACGGGTCCGGCTCGGACCCTGTCTTCGGTGAGGCGGAGAGCCAGGCGGGTATAGTCATGTGGCGATCCGTAGTGGCATCTGGTGACGCCGGCTCGAGTGACGAGATCGCTCCGGTTTGTGGCCATAATATCCAGGAGACTGCCGGCGGGACGGTAGGTAGGCTCAGTGGTATTACATATCTGCAGTCCGTGCTGACAGAGGAGTGAGCGCAGACGGTTCCCTGGACTGCAGCAGTTGTTCGCGGTCTTGAGGAGGCAGCAGTTGAAGTCACCACCGATTATCACCGTCAGTCCGGGCTGCGCGGCGATCAGATGCTGCAGCTGTGCCTCCAGATCGTCCAGATCAGCTGTCAGTTGTTGGCTGGTGTTTCTTGGGACTCGATAGAAGGACCCGATAAGTAGACGTCGACATTTTCCCACGCGCACGGCCACCCACTGCGCCTCAAGATTGGAATCGCGCATACCCGTCGCGGGCGTAGGGAGCGGCTCTATCTCAAATGACTCTCGGATGTACATTGCGACACCGCCGTGACCCCTCGCGAGACGGCCACCGCGCGGCCGGTCCTTGCGCACGAGTCTGTAGCCGCTGAGATTGAGCAGACGGTCCGGTATGCGCTCCGTGAGCCATGTCTCGCTCAGCAGCAGCACGTCGAAAGAGAAACGCGAGTCGATGTCGGCACGGACGTCCGGTAATTTGGGAAGAAGGCTCTGCACGTTGAGTTGACCGACGATTAGGTGCCGGTTCCCGATGTCTCCGTGCCTGCGCCACCGAACCCCGCCCCTCCGACCGCGCCGTCCAGCCGCACCACCGCTGCCGCTCACCCCGCTTGACAGGTCGGACCCTCGGGGCACGGACGGCCTGAGCGGCGGTACACACCGGGTTCGGGGCGGCAGCGGAGCGGCCGGCCGAGGGGAAGGCGCCGGCGCGCCGGACGAGCTAGCGATACGCCGCCACGGGTCGGGGGCCGGTGTTGCAGCTCGCAGTAGTTGCAGGGTGTTTAGCAACAGAAGAAGGCTGAAGAGAAGGTCGAACATGGTGACGACACCAATGTGAATTAGGTCTTGGAGATGTCGGTCGTGGGACGGCTCAGTCGTGCAGCCCGTGAACAGCTATGCTATGAACCACAGCACTACGGTACGGCACTGCAGCCGCTCTCAACACTCACGGTCCACCGTCAACACTCCGGTAACACCATATTAAAATTAAAATCAATTAAAATCACTGGTGACGTCTCGCACACGCACGCACACACACCCGCCCCAGGTTCACGCACACGTTGGTGGAGGAGAGCCGGGGACGCTGCGCACCCTGGCGCGGCGCGGGCTTATAGCGTTGCAGGCTCCATGCGACAAAAACGACGGCCTGATGGCCGATATGCGAGAGGAAATTAGTTTGTGTAACATTTATCGGGGGCGGTTTGCCGTTTACAACATATGAATGTTAAGGGAGGTCCGAGATTGGGGCCTGTAAAATTGCACTGTCCGTATGGGCGGTTACACCCCTAGTGCTAGGGCGTATTTTGCGTTTTTTTTTTTACTGGGGAGATGATTATGACCAGGAATAGCACTCTGCAAACTTCTATGGGCGCCTGTATAGGGGGCGAAACTGATTTTCCAGTGCAGGGACGGCCATCGGCATTGTGGGGCGGCATTCATTCCACTGGGGCGTCTGCCAGTGTTGAAGGGCGGGATTCATTTCAATGGGGCGCCCGTTGGTGTTGATGGGCGACATGTATCACCTGGGGCGCCTATCGGAGATTGGGGCGGCATTAATTTCACTGAGGCGCCTATCGGCGTTGACGGGTGGTATTTATTCATCCGGGGCGCTTATGTATTGACCAGCACCGGCACTCCACAAACACTAGTGGCTTTTCCGCGCCGTAAGTCAAGATATAAAACAGTGTGGTATGGTAGGTAATGGAAATAAACAGAGACATTCACTCGCAACATTCAAAACATACATACATTCTAAACCCTACCCCCTCCCCCCGCGGTGTCCCTATTGCACATTGACTTAATACTACGTTGGAAACGCGCTGGGTCCAGTTCGATGACATTCGTTGGAAGTTTGTTTAACCCTCGCATGTGTGCGGCGTTTGCCAGCTTCTAATGTGTAGGGGGGGGGGGTCGGTTGGACCCCCCCCTTGCCGTTTGGCCCCTGATCGAGCTAGAGCTTCGCGGAAAAAAACGAGCGTGTTGCCCGTGACGAGAGGAAGCCGATGATACCCAATTTTAAGGTCCTAGGTCATTGGTTGACCTTCCAGGTCAGGTCAATGACCCAAAGTCGGGAAAATCGGGACCTGTTATAAAGTCGTAAAGTGTGGCTATTAAGGGGTTTTTTCGGGGTGCTGATCACGAATATCGTGTTAGTTTTGATCACAGATGATGTCTTGAAGCATTTAGACCAGGTCGGGTCAGGTCAGGTCAGGTCAACCAGTAGGCGTCGTGACGGGTATTCGTAGTACGTGTCAACCGCCTCTGACAGCTTCGTAACATGTTACGAAGTCACCAAAACTACTTCGTAAATGTTCAAATGGTTGCTAAATTCGAATTCAGCTCCAAAAACTAGCCTAGAAACATGTAAAACTCGAAAAGTGACCCGAGGTCACCCGAGGTCACCAAAGGTCAATGACCTGACCTGACCTTCAGGTGACCTTGACACACACGGGAGTAACATCAAATCACATGTTTGAACGTTTGAAACCACGAAAAGCTTGCAAACACGCGGCTAGTGCGAGCCGACATACGCGAAATCGCGATTCCGGCCAAACATGGTCTCGGAAAAGAGGTCACAGGTCAAAGGTCATTTGGGTCAGGGTCATGAAATTTTCAGGGTAGGTGTAAAATTGATCAATGTGAGGGTACTGAAAGTTTCGTCGCGATCGGCCGCTTTTTACGCGAGTTATTCGCGAAAAACCATGGGGGGGTCCATCCGACCCCCCCCCCTACACATGCGAGGGTTAAAAGAGATGTTGCGCGATATAAGAAGGACCGCTGACCGGCTGCTGTACGAGTAAAAGGAGGCCTAAAATGCCGGTCCTGTCGAGTGCTACGGTCGCATCGCTGTTGGCGCGAGTCACCGAAAGTCACAAAAAGAGATGCAATGTCTTCCGGCTCATCGTAAGTAATCGCCTTATGGGCCACAGCCATCGTAGACATCTCGTACATCAGTCGAGGACCGTGCAGTCCTAGGTCCTCTCGCGCGTGAGACACGTGGTCATACTTCCTGAGACCGGTGATCACCCTGGTCGCAAAGTTGATCACGCTAAGCAATCGTGCGTCGTTTCTCGCTGTACCACCACCATACACCGGAATACAGTACCTCTTTCGGTGCTTATCGGTAGCTTATCGGTGGTATAGGCCGGCATTCGCTTCACTGAGGTGCCTATCGGTGTTTTAAGGCGGCAGTAAATCCACTGGTGTTTGGGGCGCCTACCGGCGTCGAAAGGCGACATTCATAATTCATTTCACTGGGAGGCATATTGGTGTTGATGTGTAACATTCATTCTCCTGGGGCGCCCGGCAATGAGGGGGCGGCATTTATTCCGTTCCCCTGGGATGGGCCCCTATCGGTGTGGAGGCGTCGCCGTCGTATTACTTTGAAATGGGGGCACCTCTGGATGGTAGTAGATGCATTCATTTCGCTGGGACACCTACCAGCGTTGATTGCCTGTATTCATTCATTTCGGGCTCCTATCGGTGTTGAAAGGCGGCATTTATTTCACTGGGGCGTCACAAACCTGCTACTCCCACCATAAACCTCAGCCTATTCACTTCACGTTAGCAGTAACTAGAAGTCTCTTAGGGGGGATCCATAGGGGGAGGCTTAGTCTCGGCATAGTCTCGGGTATCATTGCGTCGCGTCGGAGCGATTAGAAACCGGGTTCTAACGATCGAAATTTCGCAGCTCTAACCAACTTGCCGGGAGGACGGATGCAACTTAAACGCAATTTAAATGAGTGTTTTTTTTTTTAACAATTCTCTGTCACCGAGTTAGTGTTATGGATTCGGCGCCTTATTCACTAGTCCACACGAAGGTATTGGAACCGTGGAACTCTTTTCGATATGCCTTATTCGGAGAATCTTATGATATGGTGATGAGGTTGTTTCTAAACGAACATTATGAAGGTTACATTTACGCTATGGAATGTACCTAACTATTTCTCGTAACATAAAAACTGTAAATTCTGAACGTGTTAACAGGTACAACACATTGTCAAACGTCTCTTCACTGTTTGTGTTACTACAACCGTGTATATGGTAAGGGGCGCCCAGCGGGAAGGGGCGCTTCAATATCGTTTGCACCCCTATCCTAGAATACCTTCCGCCGCCACTGCCGGTTACTCACACAGATGTGGTCCGGCTGGTACTCGGTACCCGGTACTCACACAGATGGGGTCCGGCTGGTACTCGGTACCCGGTACTCACACAGATGGGGTCCGGCTGGTGGGCGCGGCGGCTCAGCTCGGCCCGGGCCAGCTGGAGGCGGCGCCGCGACTCGACCAGCGCGGCGGCCACCTCGTCTCCTCCGTCCGTGTCGCTGTCCACAGAGTCACTGCAGGCCGCCCGCAGCTGCCGCACAGACCACACAGAGAAAACCGTGAGCCGACAAACACACGCGCCGAACGACACACACATGCATGGTGAACCGTTTCAGATAGATTGCAATAAAGTTCGGTGGGACCAACTCCCGTCCGTGCGTGTGTTGACATCACAGCTACTAAGGCGCACAAAAGCTGGACATCAATCAACTGGATGAAGGCGCCGTTCGACTAACGGTGATATGCTGTTCTAATCATAAAGATGACAAAACTTCATCTCGTGTGCCAATTATTGTTGTGCCCGTTTTACGAAACCCATAGACTAAATACTTCAGCAAACAGTAACTACAGCTACTTTAGTTGCATTGCAGCCCGGCGGCGGCGGCACTGCACATCCCGCAGTGTCGCCGCGCCGTCCACCTCCCACCACACCGGTCAGCCGAAAATACTGGGCACTGGCGCGGCACAGCGTAGCCCGGCCGCGCCAGGGTCGCCGCGGCCGCGCCAGGGTCACCGCGGCCGCGCCGGCGCACCTTCCTGCGCTGCCGTCGCGGCGGCGGCCGTCGCGGCGGCGCGCCGCTGACTTGGGAGGAGGTGCAGTCGGACAGCGAGTCGATGAAGTTGCGGTAGTCGTCCGTGTCGAGGAAGCGGCGCAGCGTCTCTGGGTCGACGGCAGGCTCGGAGCCCAGCTCAGATACCACTTTGTACTCCTGCTGAGAGGCCGGCGCAGGAGCAGCACAGGTCAGGCTGGGTGGGAAGCAGCGACAGACGACGGAGCTTTATAAATCTGTGATCGGAGTAGTAATTTTAACGGATTGCAACCGAGGGCAATGAAGGTGGTCGAGACTGAGAATCCCAAAACGAGTCGCTGACAGAACTCGCCTGGTAGGGGTCCCACGCCTGCTCCGACACTGAGCCGCTGTCAGAACTCGCCTGGTAGGGGTCCCACGCCTGCTCCGACACTGAGCCGCTGGCAGAACTCGCCTGGTAGGGGTCCCACGCCTGCTCCGACACTGAGTCGCTCGCGCTGTCAGAACTCGCCTGGTAGGTGTCCCACGCCTGCTCCGACACTGAGCCGCTGACAGAACTCGCCTGGTAGGGGTCCCACGCCTGCTCCGACACTGAGTCGCTGACAGAACTCGCCTGGTAGGGGTCCCACGCCTGCTCCGACACTGAGCCGCTGGCAGAACTCGCCTGGTAGGGGTCCCACGCCTGCTCCGACACTGAGTCGCTGACAGAACTCGCCTGGTAGGGGTCCCACGCCTGCTCCGACACTGAGCCGCTGTCAGAACTCGCCTGGTAGGGGTCCCACGCCTGCTCCGACCCAGAGTCGCTGACAGAACTCGCCTGGTAGGGGTCCCACGCCTGCTCCGACACTGAGCCGCTGGCAGAACTCGCCTGGTAGGGGTCCCACGCCTGCTCCGACACTGAGCCGCTGTCAGAACTCGCCTGGTAGGGGTCCCACGCCTGCTCCGACACTGAGTCGCTGACAGAACTCGCCTGGTAGGGGTCCCACGCCTGCTCCGACACTGAGTCGCTGACAGAACTCGCCTGGTAGGGGTCCCACGCCTGCTCCGACACTGAGCCGCTGGCAGAACTCGCCTGGTAGGGGTCCCACGCCTGCTCCGACACTGAGCCGCTGGCAGAACTCGCCTGGTAGGGGTCCCACGCCTGCTCCGACACTGAGCCGCTGGCAGAACTCGCCTGGTAGGGGTCCCACGCCTGCTCCGACACTGAGTCGCTGACAGAACTCGCCTGGTAGGGGTCCCACGCCTGCTCCGACACTGAGCCGCTGGCAGAACTCGCCTGGTAGGGGTCCCACGCCTGCTCCGACACTGAGTCGCTGGCAGAACTCGCCTGGTAGGGGTCCCACGCCTGCTCCGACACTGAGCCGCTGACAGAACTCGCCTGGTAGGGGTCCCACGCCTGCTCCGACACTGAGTCGCTGACAGAACTCGCCTGGTAGGGGTCCCACGCCTGCTCCGACACTGAGCCGCTGGCAGAACTCGCCTGGTAGGGGTCCCACGCCTGCTCCGACACTGAGTCGCTGACAGAACTCGCCTGGTAGGGGTCCCACGCCTGCTCCGACACTGAGCCGCTGTCAGAACTCGCCTGGTAGGGGTCCCACGCCTGCTCCGACACTGAGCCGCTGGCAGAACTCGCCTGGTAGGGGTCCCACGCCTGCTCCGACACTGAGTCGCTGACAGAACTCGCCTGGTAGGGGTCCCACGCCTGCTCCGACACTGAGCCGCTGGCAGAACTCGCCTGGTAGGGGTCCCACGCCTGCTCCGACACTGAGTCGCTGGCAGAACTCGCCTGGTAGGGGTCCCACGCCTGCTCCGACACTGAGCCGCTGGCAGAACTCGCCTGGTAGGGGTCCCACGCCTGCTCCGACACTGAGTCGCTGACAGAACTCGCCTGGTAGGGGTCCCACGCCTGCTCCGACACTGAGCCGCTGCCGACGCCATCGGTGAGGTCCTCGGTCACCCGATCGGTGACGTCATCCGACTGCGAGGGGTCCTCCAGGGTGGTGTCGGTGCCGCAGCGCCGCAGCGTCCGCCCGACGCCTGTCAGAGGGGCACATCACACAGAGAGCCGACCCGGTCAGAGGCCGACCAGCGTCAGACACTGCAGCGGGACGGCAGCACCAGACGGCTGAGAGGCACACCGTATAGTCATATCAGAGGTACTCACATCTGCGCATCATACCTATACCTATGTGGTGAAAGATGAAGGAAAGAAGATGAAAATGCACCGTCTGCAACTTTTTACGCCCAATTTAGGCAGCAATGCACACATTTGTAGTGGTCGTGATTTCGACAGTACGACATAGACAGACTATGGCGAACTGTCGAAATCGGTTACACTATTACTGAACTGTGTGCATTATGTCTATATTTGGCTGTAATAAGATGCATTTTCAACATCACTGAAATATTGTATTCAAAAGATCACCTCATACATGGCTTGTGCTAAAGCTTACCTATAATTATTTTGTGTCTGTTGTCATTGTTACATCATAATTTAATGCGCCCGCTAACTCTCGAACAAGATCTTAAAATGAGCTGGACTGCTGCCAATGCTGAGCCATAGGAACCCGGTGGATAAAGAGTTGTAGAACATCAATCTGCCCCCGAATGTACCAACCCCCCCCCCCCCCCTTGTGCCGTTGAAGGACGCAAAATGGTAAATCCCTGTGCCGGCGAGGGTTAACAAAATACCTACATAGCGCGTAACAAAATAACTATGTTAAGCGGCGAGACACACAATTTTTGCTAAGGGAGGGGCGTTCTGGACGGTTCTCCCCCACTAGGCACTGACCTCGGGCCGGGTCGCCGGCGGCGGCGGTCGAGGGGCGCCGCGCGCGCCGCCGACGGGTCACGGGCGGTGACCTCTCGCTGTCCGAGCTCAGCGACGCGATTGGTCGGTGGCCGACCGCGCGGCGACGCCCCGCCCACACCGCGCCGCCATTGGTCGGCTGACTGAGCTGGTCGTAGCCAGAGAGGATCACCGAACCGCCAGAACTGAAAACACAAGAACGCTTCAACTGGTGGGGCCCACAAGAGAACACAACAAAAACGACTCAACTGCTGGTCCTGTAGCTCAGTTGGTTAGAGCGTTGGACTCCGCGTGGTGAGAGCACGCGTTCCCGGTTATGACAGTCCGGGTTCGAAGCGCGACGGGCGCTCGACATTTATGGGCCTCCTGACAGGTATGGTTGCGGTTGGTGGCAGGCCGTAGCCAGGCGAAGTCAGCGAGGGGACCGGCCGTGCGCGGCTTTGTGCGCACGTTAAACTTTGGACTCTAAATTCTGCCATAGAATCGGAATTACGCGATCGGAGGGTAGAGGGCAGGGTCATCGCAACAAGCTTCGCTTAGCGGTGGCTCTGTCCTTGTGAATCCTTCCCATCAAAAGTTTCGGACTAAATTTATAAAAAAACGCCTCAACTGAAAAAGGAGATTTTGAACTTGTAATTCTGACGAAGGTTGCTTGGAACCGAAACGTCAACAGTTATTTTCGTAATTACTTGTTGGGTCCACCGATAGCCTCATATCACGGAAAAGAAACGCTTAATCTCTATCAGGGCTTGATCACTACACATCCTAGTCAAGATTACAAGAACCTAATTCAATAAACCCTGACTAGAACCTAGGTTTTAAATCATATAACATCCTGGTATAACAGATAGCAACACCAAATATACCTATTTATTTACTTTAGGTCCGCAATACAGAGAGGTACCAAATTACCCCCCACATTGACATGAAGGAAATCCTTCATTACGTCACAGATCCAATCTAAATGACGTCACGATGAAATATAAACATCGTAATATCTAAAAAAGTATACTGTGAAAACGCGTAAAAACTTGCGAAATTCGTCACAATACCCTGCATAGGCGTAGGAACAGGGGGGGCCAGGTGGGCAAGTGCCCACCCACTTTTCGAGGTGGGGGGGGGCCAACCATGTGTTTTGGCCCACCCACTTTTTACTCGAGGCCCCTCGTCTCGATTTGAGAGGACGTCGTCACCTTCCAGAATAAACAAACTCGGTAGAAATAAGCTCCACAAATCCCCACGCACGGACTCCAAGGGGCCGTGATGGATCCAAGGAGGCCCTCTGTTCATACTTGTCAGTCGAAGCCCCTGAGACTGATGGCCTGAGAGGCCCTAGTGGATCTGAGGAGGCCCCAATATCCACACTGGTCTGGGGAGGCCCCTGACACTGGCGGTCTGGGAGGCCCCTCTATCCACACTAGTCAGAGGTCTGAGACTGGTGGTCTGGGAGGCCCCTCCATCCACACTAGTCAGAATAGGCCCCTGACACTGGTGGTCTAGCCGAGGCCCCCTACCCTCACTAGTCAGAGGAGGCCCCTCTATCCTCAATAGTCAGAAGAGGCCCCTGAGACTGATGGTCTGGGAGGCCTATCCATCTACACTGTAGTCAGAGGAGGCCCCTGAGACTGATGACCTGAGAGGCCCTTATAATCACACCAGGCAGAAGAGGCCCATGAGACTGATGGACTGAGAGGCCCTTCTATTCATACTGGCCACTTGAGACCCCCAAAACTTTCGGTCTGGGAGGTCCCTCAATCCGGCACCAGTCAGAAGAGCCCCTGAGACTGATGGCCTGGGAAGCCCTTATATTCACACTAGGCAGAGGAGGCCCCTGAGACTGATGGTATGAGAGGCCCTCATATTCACACCAGTCAGAAGAGGCCCCCGAGGCTGATGGCTGTGAGGCCCTTCTGTTCATATAACTGGCCACTGGAGGCCCCTGAAACCGGTGGTCTGGGAGGGCCCTCTATCCAAACTAGTCAGAAGAGGCCCCTGAGACCGATGGTCTGAGAGGCTCTTATATTCATACTGGCCACAAGAGGCCCCTGAGACTGATAGTCAGAGAGGTCCACTCCTAATGAATCTGAGGGGGCCCTCTATCCACATTTACACTTTTCTAGGGAGGCCCCCGAGACTGATGGTCTGAGAGGCCCTTTTATTTATACTGTCCACAGGAGCCCCCTGAGATTAATGGTCTAAAAGGCTATTCTATTTATACTAACCAGAACAGGCCCCTAGGATTGATGGTCTAACAGGCCCTTCTATTTATACTAGCCAGAGGAGGCCCCTGAGAAGATAGTCCGAAGAGCCATGCGGCGGCAACTGGCCGTGGCCATATTTCGGCTCGGTAGGGCCCCACAGAGCTCATGAGAGCACCTCAAGGGCTCCTAAGCAGACACGCTTATCCCCATAAGGGTGCCACGCCGGCTTCTGAAGGCTCCTTGTAGGCATCTAAGGGCCCTTTCCGGCCTCTAACGGCTCCACCCGCCTGTGATGGCTCCACACTAGTGTTTATGAGCGCCACACAGCGGCGCCTTTGAGGGTCATACTAGTGTCTCTTAGGGCCCTATATCGGTGGCTCTGGGGCCCCTCACCGGCACCTCTGTGGGCCACCACACCTGTGCATCTCAAGGCTCTATAGGTACATCTGAAGGACCCACACCGACACCTCTGAGGGCCCCACACCAGTATCTCGGAGCTCTGAAGGCCCCACACCGGTGACTCTGAGGACTCACCGGCTCCTGAGAGCACCATGTTGATGTCTAACGGCTCCATAAGGCCACTGAAGGCACCACACAAGCTCTCACTGAGCTCTAATGTCCATGTACCGGCCTCTGAGGGATTTAAGCCAGCGCATTCATAGCTCCACACCAGCAATTGCAAGGGCTTCACACTGAAGTATCTGAGGGTTCCACACCGGTGTCTCTAAGGGCCACATACCGGCATCTCTGAGGGTCCACATCTGGCGGGCACCCATCAGCGACTGAAGGTCCCACACTGTCGACTCCGAGAGCCCCATCTGTGTCTGGGAGCACCATGCCGTCTCTAAGAACCACAGCGGCTCCTCCGTCGAAAGATGGGCGTCTGCATGCCAAAGGGGAGCGGTTCTGAGACCGTAGGGCACCTACGTGCAATAGAGGGGCGCCTATGAAGCCCATAGGGGCGCCTCAATGCGAACGAGGGGTGCCTCTGAGGCCTACATATATGGGCGTCCACATGCAATAGAGGTCTGCGACTGCAATTGATCAATGCCATGGGGGTGCATTCATAAGAAACAGGGGCGCCAGCATGGCAAAGAGAGGCGCCTTCCAGTGTCCATAAAAGAGAGACGCCTATGATAAGCGCACATTGTATGCGACAACGGGGCGACTGTGGGACATATAGGGATGTCTCTGATGACTATACATAGGGCGCTAATATGCTTAAGAGGGCGCCTATGAAGCTAATGGGGGCACCTGGGAAACGAGGAAGACATTTGTGTAAGGTTTTTTTCAGGGGTCATGCGCCGTTTGCGGCAAATAGATTCTAAAAAAAAATCGGAGGGGGAATAAGTTTTAAAAATGGTGCGGACTTTCCGCACTGTTCGCTTAAGCGGTTACGCCCCTGGGTACATCTGCCCGATCTCAGAAGCTAGATTTGGTGGTCATACTTGAAAGCAGCCAGCAGGACGAGGAAAAAGTTGGAGGCCCCTGAAAATAGGAGGCCCCCTGGAAAAGGAGGCCCCTTGACAGGGTGGCCCACCCACTTTTCATGACGTTCCTACCAGGGTTGTATATGACTCAATCAATAGCAATCAATTCAATCACGACAAATTTGGGAAACCAATCAAATCAATCAAGTCAGAGCATGGTTTTCGGGAATTGATTCAATCGACTCAAACGCGACAATGAAAGGAATCAATCAACTCAATCAAACGACTCAAACCAAGATATACATTAGGTTTTTTGCCCCACCAACTTGGAAAAGTGTCCATAGCAGTCTGGTGTACCTACCTACCTACCTCAACCTACCTACCTACAGAAGAAACAAAAATATTGTCATTTAAAATTATAAATTGCCATGCCATTCAAAGTTTCTATGTAATAAGGAAGGATACCTAGTGATGGACAGGTGGATCATGATATTGAGGTTCAATGGGTAGAATTGGAGCAGAAGTTTCATTTAATGGGTGCAAAATAACCCAGTAGTTGACTTCAACAAACGCCCCTTAACCCAAATCACCACCTTTCACCTAAAAGTTGTCAATTTAATTTTGGCCATATTCCAGCTAAGTCATCAGGCCATCTACCCCATGTAAAGCCCCCGTCTGTCTCTTATGTGAGTTATGCGGAGCTCTTCTGAATTGAACCCTGAACATAATGAACC